AGGGAATTGATTCTGAAGTGGCTGCGGCCATGCCCACCGATAGGTAGCATTATGACGCCTCGGCCAACGGAAGCAGGTAGTCCTCCCCGACGGCTACCTGTTAGTTGCATCATGGTGTCCTTCTAGACGCGGATGATTGATGCGCTTTCCCCGAGACGGCAACTTGCTGTTGAACGAGGTAGATGCAGGGGAAATACTGGTGAGAAAGACGCTTGTCTACCTTACAAGGCATCTGAGGCAGTGTCTGTAAGTAGGCGCGAAGCTGAACAATCAGATATATGTGGCGGCGCGGCGGCGCCAAAGACTGCATTCCGTACTGGTTTCTTGCAAGCTGTGGACCGCCATTCCTGGTTGATGATCACGCCAACATCGTGTGCCTTGTTTGCGGCCACAAACAAGCCAGCCATTGCTGACTGGTTGTCGGGTTAGCCAAGGGGTTGCCTTGCTGCCTTGGTCGGGACATCAAAACGGGATGCTGGAAATAACCTCATTTCTTTCAGGGGTCCTTCACCGACCGGTGATGGATGCCTGCTATCCTGGAAAGGCGGTAAATAGCTCGGTACCGAGAGCGAGGGCTGAATTCGGCGAGATATGCTTGCAGTCGGGCGTTGACACTGTCCGAGTCTTAGACAGGTGAAAGAATTCCCAGTATCAGGAGATGGAGTTGAAGCTCAAATGAGGCAATATGGTCTGCTGAGCAGTAAACATGGATTGATCAGTCTTTGTTTGGCTGTTCCATGCGACAAACGGATGCTTGTGAGGAGACTGGGGCAACCGGGAGGCGTCTAGTCTCACGACGGTAAGGTGACGGTACAGAACACGACATGCGAAATGAATCACATGATCGGAATGCCGCTTGGAATTCTGTTCCTATCGTAGCGCCCATAGCTTTTCGGATTCTCGCCATCGTTATCAGACAGCTTCAAAGGCTCAGTGCAGCTTGATCGTGCTGAGAAAAACGAGATGTGGTGCCGTCTCTGGAGGTATGTATGCTTTTGGAAGAGGTCGGTAATTGAAAGAAATGCGTCTCAAGTCCCTGGAGGCTAATGAACGAGCCCCCAATGCGACGAGTCGGCGACAAATAAGCAACTGGAGAAGGGAGAAGTAATTAAAACCTAACTTCTTAAAGTAGGCATGTGGGCATGCTATAATCCCCGCTTTTCACGTTGCCTTACGGCGCTTGCAACCCACCTGTATGGCGGACCGCTCTCGGCCTGAGTTAAGTACTAAGGCGACCGGTAGGGGAAAGGAATAGAGCAGCACACTCGGGTCACGTGTTGCAAATGCTGTTCATCATACCGAGATTTTGATATCTGCTGGTTGACAATTAGGGGACCTTTCTATCCGTATTGGAAGTCTCATCGCCTGAGGATCGATGGATTGGCTGAGAACTGGCGCAGAAGCATTGGGTTTAAACCCGTCTGTACCCGAGCGGTTCCCCATTGAAAATTTTGTCGTGCTTATAGAAGACCATGAGCAATACTGAACGAAATCGTATTACCTTGCGGCAAGCCTCGGTCCATGCATGAAGCGCCAATGAAATCTTGCAGATGGTAAGCCACAGATGATAGGACGGCTGGGCAGCCACAGCCAGTTGAGAACGTGTCCGCATTGATTCGACGGCGCCGGCCAAACCAATCATGCCGAACTCTTATCCATCATATCAGCCTCTAAGCTGTTCTCAATCAAAATGAGGCTTCTCTAATGTGCCAACCCATCCATAGTTGAATGTGATTTCTTACATACATTACCCTCATTTGATACACGTGGGAGATGCAATGCCACCGAGACTCTCACCTAAGACCATGCTGGCTATCACGTTGACCTCCATTCGTTGTTATGAGCGGGAGAACTACTGCCCTGATTTTGCCTTGCGAATCAGTTTTATGTCTTCACTCGTAGAGGAAGCCACGAAAGTCAGACTTGATTTGACTAAGGTAAGATAGTCAGATTTATCATTTGAATGATGTGGACCAAGGTTGTGCGCTCTTATGCCTGGTCATGAAACAACTGAGTTGACCGGCACTATATATGATCTAGGACTACAGTTATTGCGTACTTCTATTGTATCCTTCAGGTCACAATGGAGACTACGTGAACACTGAACAGGTGCCTGTGTGGAACATAGAAGGGGGCTGGCCAATCATGTAAGTGAGTTGAAACAACAGTAGCTGAACTGTTCCGTAAAACCCTGACGCTTGTCACCTCTAGCTCAGTCTCCAGGCTCGTTGGAGAGGCTGCCGGAGATCTCTCTGGCCATGTATGACATGATGATCCATGTCCGTGCATACCGAAACCTGAGGTATCGGGACAATGTCTTCGATGATGAGTACTCTTCTGCCTGGAGGCTAGAGAAAGAGTCAAGACAACAAAGAGGTTCACCACCAATAGATACCTAGGTGACATCAAAAGCCAAAGTACCGTACACCGTTGGGCAGAGTCGATAGGAATCGAGAGAGAGAGAGAGCCTCATGTTGGAGATCTCGTCTGGATTCACAGTCACCAATCATTTGGGCCAAGAACCATGACCAACAAGTCATTGACCATAATGTCCCATTATGGAGGTCAGCCGGCCCTGGTGGCCCATCCACACCGGCTTAGCGTGTACGTCTGTGACATCGGGAAGCAGCGACGCCGAGACGGATTCCACCTACTCGAAGCTGATGCGCCTATCGCTTGTCAAGTGGCCACCTCTCTTTGGACGCTACCCTGAGCCCAGCCCCTGGGTATGACCGTCTCTTGACCTCACCTAGGGAGTAGCTGTAAGGAGGACGAATGAACAGCTGCGATGGTCGTCGTCGTCCCGAGATTTCGGTGGATATCTCTCCTCAGAGACCAGATCGTTCGCCTTCGTGTTAATGAAGGCAACTGTCTCCCGAACACCTTGCATACAATACATTGCATGTGCCTATCACAAGATGGCGCGGGACGCCCTTCGTGCGAAGGGATTGCACTCAAGCCCGTCTAAAAGTGACAGTCTCAGCCCGTGTGTGATGGCAAATGTTGCTCTGGGATGGAAGTCCGTCGATCATAGGATAGATGTACGAGTAATTATCCATCCATGATGACGAATGCCCTTCGAGATCATTCCAATGACAGGACTTGCCACACCCTGGACAGATACCATCATCTATGTATCGTCAGCGCATTCAGCCATACAAGTACTGGAGATATCTGGGGTCCCCTGAGTCAAACTCTGCTTCTCACGCAACATTGGCCCGTATCCGTCAGTTGATCGCCTCGCAGGCCTCCCAAACGTCTCGGATCAGCTGATCGTGATATTTTTCAGTTGAATCTGGTGGATGTGAAGCTGTGAAGCATATTCCCATGATTTCTCATTCTCAAATAGCATGCGTTGTGGCGAGTCCGGTGTGGCCGACGTTTGTGTGGCTGAGTCCGCAGCTATGGAGTGTGGCGAAAGCTCCAATCCCAACACAAATGAGCGCCACTTGAGTCGAGACCGAAAAGATGGCGCAAGAAAGACGGAAGACAATCAATGCTTCGGTAATTGAATCCCTTCGGAATAAGAGTATCTGAGCAGGACCCGGATGATGAGTCGTTCATGTTCGGGGTAGAATGTCCGCAGGGTCGCTGTGGTGTTGAATTGTGTATGAAGTCGGAAGCTAGAGGCTGAGAGGAATTCCCGGCACTGCAGCCAATGAGACGGACACCACGGACTCTTCAAGAGAGCCCGTGCGTATTGATGAGGTAAGGTGCGAAAGGGAACATACCTCCTATTTTTCGTGATTGACTAGTGACGGACACTGAGCGCGAAGCCGATAAAGAGGTTAAGGAGACCTTGTTCCGAGAAGCCATGCTCGCCAGGAATGAAAGTGGTAATAGGTAACACAATAAGGGAAGTCACAGCTGTTACCGTGGACACTTGGGGCGGTCTAAGACAGTGAGACTAAGGTCACGAAAGCCTGGAATTTGTGGGAATACTGCTGGATTGATAAGGCTGTTCGAAGCATGTCACGGCGCAGGGGAACATTTTGTAGAACATGTTTTGTGACGGTGCTGGCGTGCATGAGAAGCTTGTGACTACCATGACACCATGGCAAGGGTTCTGGTGACTGTGAGAAGTGCGCTAAGTGAGAGTCCGAGTGTCAAGTCCTTCCGATGGTCAGCCTTTTGCGTCAACATGACCAGAAAATTGACGTAAAGCTGGTTTTCATCATTAATTCCATCTCGACTTTCTACCACTGACGAACAACATTCCAGTCGTGATTCACCTCACGGCACAGATTGCTGCGTGAATTCCTTGACTGCGCATTACTAAGTACATGAGATATTGAATGCGCCCGGCATTTTTATCGGTGGGAAGCAATTCCTATAGCCTCATCACAGTCTGCCTACCTAAGCAAGAACGTTGCCACATTGCAAACTTGCAACGAACGAATCTGCCAACGCCGTTCCTTACCCTATCGTCATAATTTCTTGACATCTTCATCCGAAGAAACAATTCAGGCACAATCATTGCGCCATATTTGCTGCAGCACAACATTGTCGAAGTCTGAATCCCTCACATAACGGCCTACGCAGGAACGGAAGCGCTTATCTAGGTAGTCTGGCTTAGAAGGAAGAGTCGGGCGAGATGATGTGAGGGGGAGGAGCAGCAGTCCCCAACTCTGGAGATGGCGAACCAGCGGACCATAGCGGGGGCTGGTTGCCTGCGCGCGCGCTGGGCAAGCTGCAGTTGGTTCGCCATTTGCTCCCTCTAGAAATGCACTAATTCCAACCAGTTTCCCCAAAGCCTTACCTTACCAAGCATCTATATTCGCCTGGTGCGCTCTTTTGTTATTCGCAAAAAAACGGCAAAACACTTGTGTTCGAGGGGACCTTCGATCCTAAAGTATTTGCTTGAACTCTTCCAGTACCGGACTCAGAGTATTTGAAGACTCTTCTGGATTTATGTCGGGCCGATGATCTTCGGCCGCCGCATCACCACACGACACAATTGCTGAGCGCCCGCTACATACTCCGCGCGGCATTATTTTACTATGAGTTCAGCGTCCAAAGGACCACACGCAGACCTTGCGACTAAATTTATTGGTTTTCAACGTAATCGGGAACTAGAGAGGAGAAAATGCGCTCTCTGTTCAAACAAATTCCCATTAAATTCTACCAGGGAAGATGTTGCCCGTCATTTTGACGAGCGTGGCCATGCTAAAACGGACGAACAACAAACTGATTTAATCGACAAAACATGGCTAAGGTGCGATACCAGTATAGAAAAGCTCCACATAACAGTGCTGACATTTGCAAACGTAGGTTAAAAAGCCATAGGACGGACACGACGGCAACTTCAAATCCTCAACACAATGCTCCCTCGAATCCACCAACGGCCGACCAACAACCGGGCGACACGAAACCAGAGCCTACGGACAAGGCCGATCTGAGTACGGAGCCTTTCGGTTCAGCGTATGACAGGGATCGAGGGCCAAGAAGTGTATCGTCCGACAAGAACAAGCGGAAAGACAGTGACATCAAGTCCGTACCTCCGAAGCGGAGCCGCGCCCGGCAACCTACACAGACAGCCAGTGACAACGATTTCCACAGAGATCCGGCGCATAAGGGGGGCAGGCTATGGACTCCGGAGGAGGGAGGCCCTCCCCGGAGGACCGACCAGGCTCGGCAAAAGGATCGGGATGCGACGGACTCTCCGAGGACCGTGTCCGGCCGCAACTTCGAGCCCCGCCCTGCCGAGTTCGACAATACCGAGGTCATGATTAAGCAACCTGAGACTCGTCCTATCAGTCAAGAACAACTAGTAGCTGAGGTGAAGGGTATCTATGCTGGGCTCGTAATGGTGGAGAGTAAATGCATTGAGGTGGACAATGCGCAGAGTTCAAATAACGAAACGAACCCCAAGCTCAATAACGAACAGTGGCAAGCCTTGATAGCTCTACACCGAACACTCTTACATGAGCATCATGACTTCTTTCTGGCCTCTCAGCATCCCTCCGCCAGCCCAGCATTACGTCGACTTGCCAGCAAATACGCCATGCCCGCACGTATGTGGAGGCACGGCATACACTCCTTTTTGGAGTTGTTACGGCACCGTTTACCCGCTTCGCTCGAACATATGCTTACGTTCATCTATTTGGCTTATTCTATGATGGCTCTTTTGTACGAGACGGTACCAACTTTCGAGGATACCTGGATTGAGTGTCTTGGTGATTTGGGAAGATACCGGTGAGTTACTCGCCCCAATGTTGTGAATACACGCTGACGGTCATGCAGAATGGCCATCGAAGATGATGACCTTAAAGATCGCGAAGTGTGGACATCCGTTTCACGCCATTGGTACTCAAAGGCTAGTGATAAGGCTCCTACCACGGGCCGCTTGTATCATCATTTGGCCATCCTGGCCCGCCCGAACGCTCTGCAGCAATTGTTTTACTACACAAAGTCTCTTTGTGTCCAGATCCCTTTTTTGTCCGCGCGGGAATCGATTATGACTCTATTTGACCCTCACCTGAATGGCACTCCCACTCGGCTGCAAGAGATTGACGCTGCGTTCGTCCGCGCGAACGGCATCTTGTTCAGCGGAAAGAACACGGACCAGCTTGAGTCGTCTGTTTGTGAATTCGTCGACAACTTGGACTCCCATATCGCTCGTCACACTCGCCGTTGGCTTGATAGTGGCTACTACATCTCCATCGCATTAGGCTGTGCCCTTCTCGAATACGGCAGCGAGAGCAATCCCATCATGAGAGCTATCAAGTCAGGTCGTGCAGAAGACGCAGACGTTCAGATGGACGACACAGAGACAAGCGCTGCTCCAACACAGAAGTTCCTAGACGCTCTCGACTTTGCTACTCGCACCCACGATGTGGTTTTCAGACGATTCGGCGACGACAACACCAGACCCTACTTACACGTCACCCTCTCTTTTCTCTACCACATGTCTCAGTTCCCCGCTGCAATGGCACTTATAGAAGAGAAGATGCCGTGGAAACTGATTTCCTTGCTCCTCAACACGATAATTTCCAAAGACGTGTCCATTGAGACCATCGAGTCCGAGGAGTTTCCTCGGCCAGACAAGGGTGATCCCCGTCCTCTCCCTGACGATTTTGCGCAGCGGGGTCTTCTATGGGTTGACAACTATTACCCCAACGACTGGTTCACGGCCACAAAGGTAGATGACGACGAGAAGTACTTTGAAGTCGCATCAATGATGGAAGAGCGTTCATCCCGTTGTCTTTGGCTTGGCTGTCGACTTGCAGCATCAGGCAAGTGGTTGACTTACACAAGAGATGGACAATTTGGGGTTGCGTCAAAATACGACATAGAGATTCCTGATCTGAGCAGCGATGCCACGTCCCAATCCAAGAGAGGCGGTGACGACGATTTAATCATCCCAGATGCTCCGGCAGTAAGTACTTGACGGTGGCACATAGGTAAGTTCTGCGCCTTGCTTAAGTGGCGTCCGGCGTTCTGGGCATACACAAGTTCCGACTGCAATGGAATATTCGTTATTGTACAAGTACGTCAAATTTGGGGCTTTATCTGTGGCGGCTGCATTTACTTTCGCGGTTGATGAACGGCCATTGCATACTGGTTTCTTTGCAGTGGGACACAAGCTTGAAAAGATGTGAGAAACAACTTGATATCGGATTCGGGACGGCTCTTCCAAGAACCGTCTCACTTAGATCTGTTCATTCTCTAATGGGGGTTGGAGGATGGGAATTTCGTGGAAGTACAACAAAACGTTATATCATCCGGAGCGGAGACAGTTGGCGACTCAACGATGATAATTCTATATCAGATAGTTTCTCATTTGTCCATCTTGAATCGCTGGGAAGAGAAGGTGTGGGATGGCCGTCGTCTGCTTCACAGTACATGTAATGCCCAGTGTCTCAGCCGCTGTCAATATAACATACTCTTTGCTTGTTCTTCAATATCTCGAATGCGCCTATAAATTCCTCCCTGACAAGTACTGATATCACTCGAGAATCGAGATGCAGTTCGGCTCGGGGCCGGGGGATCGACGCTAGATTTTGACAACACACGAGGCCGGCGTTAGTGACCATGCAAGTTTTCCTTGTAATGAGACAATCTGAGGTAGATAGGTTTCACAACCTGGCGCGGCTAGAAGAGCTGTCAAGACCAGTTTCAGCTTAGCTCACTGTGAAAGCGTTGTCATTGGCAGATAGAGCAAATATTTCATACCATGATAGCTTCTCAGAAATGACGGGATCAACCTAATCAGACCAAGATCAAAACGGTAACACGCATCCCAGATGTATACCATGTGTACAATAAGAAGGAATAGTCTTTGATCATATGGGAATGTATTCGATGAAAGAGTGAAATGGAGCCTGTATGTAAACGTTGGATTGATTGTTGCAGCATATAAGTTGAGAAGTTGTAAATTCCAGTTTTTAACTCTGCTTAATCAATGGCTCGCCTGGCATAGGATGCTCACAAACCAGTTATGAACAAGTCTTCAAGATTCCAAGGATCACAGAAAGAGGGGTTTATTCTATATTGAGGCCAATGCATAATTGAATGAAGATATATTCATATTGCTCAATTCGTTGTCGCGATAGCTTCAATCTTCCGGAGCCATTCAAGAGGCCAATTGTGACGCTTAAGAACTCTGAGCATTGTGCCATAACGTCTCCATCAGTGGCCTTTACGCACACCAGTGCTCTCCAATATTTTCAGATCTATCTTCTCTTATCTTCATGTTGAAATCCGGTTTCTTTGCCATGTATCCTGACAGCGAATGTGGGCCACGATTCGTAACACATGGGGGCGGATGTATGCCAGTGGAATCATCCAGGCTTTCAGCCACCTCCATCTTACGAAAACGAAACCATGCGCCGCAAAGGTTGAGGAATCCGAATCCCTCAGCCTACGAGGCAACCCAATCCTGAATCTCATGAGAACTTTCGCTGTCGAAAATTCCGTCGTCATCCGGTGGCGCAGGGAAAGCCAAATGTGACACTAGGGTTTTCCACGGAGGCCGAACATTCCTTTACGCTCTCTCAACAAATCCCACATCACGCGGTGACGCGGCTACACCGACCAGCGCAGCATATCACTCAAATGGGACAGAAACGGAACTTAAAGTGCGATTGATACAGGCCCTAATCGTCCATGAAGTCGAATGTCAATAGTCTGAGGCATATCTGATCCGCATTTAGGCGCCCCCGCGGTCGGACGCAAGTTTGCCTTGTTTCGGAGAGGTGTTCGGCGCCTCGCCGGCGATCTTGAAGCTGGCCCCGTATCTTCACGGGAAACCTTTCCGGGGTATTGGAAAGCCTCCGGGGTTTTATCGTTACTAGCAAAAACATCAATGAAACCGGATGAACCGCTAGTTTGCTTTGGGGGTCAGAGCTTGTGCCCGCACGTACGATACTCAGCCCCCTTCGAAACAAAACGGACAAAAGTAACAGAACCTCTAACTGGTCGCCTTGTAGTGCCTGGTTGCCTACAAAAGTAAGTAGTGCCCGGTGGCCCCAAGTTGGAGCTAACGCCGTGCCCCCGCCCAGGCAATTGCGCTTGAGCTCAGAACAGGAGATGTGTCCATGATTTGTTATCCACATCCGGGTGCTCCGGGCCTCCGGTTCTCCGGCTCCGGACGGAAACAGGAATTACTTTGCAAAGCAAGATGGAACGCAGATCTAATTTGGGTTGATTGACAGTATGCGGCTTTAGGGGAGTTACCGGCTTTGTATAAGACCTTTTGTGTTGATTTGCGGTGAAGAGGAGCTGCATGTCAGCTCACGAGACTTACACCATATGTTCAGCCCGGGCGGGAGCTGACGAGATCATGTGGAGACATATCAGCCGCCTGGCTTATCATTTTATGGCCCTCAAATTCCCGTTGCCTAAAGCAGACATTTGACTTCAAGAGGCCAGAAGCCATGGAGAGACTTAGAAAGGGTTTCAATTGAAGGTTTAATACTGACGGCGGTAATTGGACCATTTCATAGGCACCAGGCGGTGCTTCAAAGGTGCTGATGAGGGGAACGCGGTTCCGGTTGGCACGACGTGCATAACCGACTGTGCCGCATGCATGTCGGTTGCCTTATTTTCTCAAAGTATTCCCCACGAGTCAATGACACAATAGTTCTTAACATAAACCCACGCAAAACCCTTCCATCTTTCATGTTCGCTCGGGGCAGCCCCACGTTAAAATTGTAATCCTCAAGGTTACCATGTGCAACCGGGGTATGGTGCGTGTCCCAAGTTCTGTCTTCGGGAAGCAACGGAACCTAGACTTTGCCGGATTTCTCGACCTCTCAGTCCGTTGGTCCCTTCCAAGCTATTCCCAGCATTATGTATTTATTCAAATCGTGTGCTAGTAGCGTCATTTCGTCATTTCGTCATACAGAGATATAGGGAAATGAAAATGAAACGCCTGTTTTTCCCGAGGGGCCCAAGAAAGCTTGCAAAGGCTAGCTAGAAACTTGGAATTAGGGCTTGTCCCGCATGCACAGGTGTGCAGTCCTACCTCACACGATCAACTTATCGAGTAGTTCTGTCCCAACACCCCAGAGCGGAGTAGTCCATGCGCCCGCCAATATGCAATACATGTGCGCACCACCCGGCCAACACAACCATCCAACATGCAACCGGTGAGAGATTAGGACCGTCATGGAAATTTTGGCAACACACCGAAGTAAGCGTGGTAAGCTGCCTTGAAACTCGAGCCCTTTTGCGGGCCGGAAAGGAATGTGATCGAGATCTCGGCCGTGCATAGAAAAGGAAGAACAAGACAAGATTGTCACTTGGCGCGTAATGTAGATGTGAGGGGTTGCTTATCGTCTCATCGAGCCATGCTAGCCCCGTACTTGCTCAAAAGCCCAGGTTCATAGATGGGCAAGGGGTTTGTACGTCTGCCAACCCCACGGAGTCAGGGTCCAAGCTACTCCAATTGACCTGCAGGTTGCGGGGAGCTTTGAGGATGACTGGCTAGTGTTAACGAATGGACGCGTGATTTTCGGTTTTCTGGGGGGGGGGTGAGACAACTTGGCTAGGCAACCACCAACGGTCTCCTTGGTTTCTGCCTCGTAATCTGCGCCCAATGGCAATTCGAGGATTTTGCGACTATTCCCCATTACAATTGACGTTCTCCAAGTCTCATCATGGAGTCGCTTGATGGAGAAGAACGAAGGGATACAGGAGAATGAGCACCATGAAAATCGGGCCTGGCTTGCAGATCAGGAATGACCATCAGCCTGAAGTTGCGAGAGAACCTGTTGACAAAGTGTGTCGGGGGCTGGGGCAAGGACTTTGGAGCTTACTCGGGAAATGCCTAAGAGTTGGTTCTTGTAGGTATTCATCCCATTGGGCCTGGCGTTTCTTTCCCTTCCTTAGATGCCGGGCAGATGGGACATATGCTGACTGCATGCAGCATACTGCATATTCATGATACCCGAAAGGCGTCACTGTGGTAAACCGTCCCGAACTTCCCCGGGAATCCTTCTGCTGATCATTGTAACATCTTTCGGTGACCGATTGCGTGCTTTCTGCACGCGGTAAGATAAATGATGCACTACTAAAGAACAGTGCATTTCTGACATGGGATTCAGCTTGGGGATGGAGCAGGAGCAGGCTGTAAGACGCTGCTACTGCCTGCTAGGTCAACAAGAGAAATTAATATGTTACCGGGCTGATGAAAATGTATGTGAAGTCAGAATATTGGGTAAACAAATGCATTATCGATGTTTTCGAGAGAAAATTGCAGTAGATGGATAAGAGAGCAATGCTGTCGTTATCTGGAAAATGTGTGGTAGAAGGCATGGCCCGTAGTTCACAACACAGCTCCAGCAATTCGACTGTGTCGGATTTGGGATAAGGCATCTGGCGACAGATGGTACCTTCAATGATCCGATGTAGTTGAATGGTGTCTTAAAACTGCTTTACGTTTAAGGAGAGGTCTTCTGTCATGTGACCAGGAACATCTGAGAAGCGGCAGAACACTGCTGGTTGCCTATTCATTTTGAGCTGTGATGATAAAACTTACCTATACAACTGAAGATACTAAAATCAATGAGAAGTGTTCCATTGTAAGCCTTTGAGGCTCACTTCACGAAATCACGTTACGACTTACACCTCTGGTAGCTTCCGCTCAATCTCATCTACTGATCGACATTCAGGACCCAAATCTGCAATTCTACGTTGTCTTGAGACGGACAAGCTCTCATGAGTACATCTGTATTAAAAAGACTTCTAAGTCATTTGATCGAAGTCCCTAAATTCAAAAGGTCCTCCTGTTCTCTTGGGTGGGGAAAACCCCCTAGAGAAAGATTGAAGGATGAAGAGTTGAGACTGCGGTGCTGTTGCTTGGGCCTCACACACCTGCATGCCAAGCTAAGTGATGGTGGTAACAAATCAGAAAGCCGGTAATGCTTCATATTCCGATGAACGTACCTGAAAGAGAGGAAGCAAAGTCCGGGGTCAATGTTGTACAACATAGGCTAAGGTAAGTCCGGGCCAAGGGCTTTCAAATAGCCTTGCGGCCGTGTAACAACAGCCATCGTGTACACAATTCGATTGAGTTCGAGCCATGAGGCCACAAACAACTCGGTAGCAGTTGCCTTATCACTTGATAGGGCGAAATTAAGCGATGTACTTCTACCGTTCCCTGCAAGTAATAGCGAATGGCAATGCCCTCGATGTCCAGGCGCCGGGCAGGCAGCTCGGTGTCATCACTGATCAGAGACACATCATCTATTGTGATTCCGCACATTACTTTGTGGAAGAATTCCATCAGTCCTCTTGCAGTGCCTCTCATATATTAGACACGTCATGCAACCATAATCGTCAGATATGTCATGCAACCATAATCGTCAGATATGTCATGCAGGCCTTTGTAATTTTGCGCATAGTGTAGGTGTGTCCCGAGCAGGCTGAAGCTTGCTTCAGGCGTGTGATCATTCATACTCGCAACCCTGATGGCTCCAAGTCTCTCCTCTTCGGGCCTAGTACTGTCTAATCATGATTGGACGGTTCAACGTCAGATGAGTGTCGCTTAGATCAGTAAGGCATCTAGATTACTGAAGGTGGGCGTTATGTTGAGGCATACTGATTGTACTAGCTGCGTTGCAGTTCACCCGTTTTGCGATCATTGGTTGGAAGCTGCAAAGTATTGAGCCGCGGCATGTCGACATCAAAGCATGATCGCGGGGTCGCTCGACATGGCTGGTAGGAATGTTTCAGGCATCCACCTGCAAGATCTTTGCTATCCAGTTAAAAAAGGAGAGGAACAGAATACATGCACCAATTACCAAGTAGGGAGATCTGGTAGAGATGGAGCAAGGTAGGAGAAGACTCGCACCGGAATTCAATGACACTCCCTCAACATAAGGAGTTAATTATTCTGGGGGTTTTACCCGAAACTAGAGCTTGAATCTTCGTCCATATGAAGGACAGGTGCGAAAAGGACGCTACGTCTGGTGAGGTTTTAGTTTCTGAATCGAAACAGACTTAGTATCAACTTAGGCGTACACGGTAATCTGGCTCATGTAGACTGAAATCAGTTGGTTAACTCTTAACTCAGTTTGAATCTTTAGCAACAGTCTCCGTGTTCTAGAGAAAGGAGATGATGAGGGTACGCAGGAACCAGCTGGAATTCTCTGGGCCTGTGAAGCTCCTCAGACATTGCGGCAAAGGTGACATCGAGACTCAAGAGGCAAGATGTTCCACTATATATTGTATATCACATATTTTGATAAATAGTTGATAAGGTATATCTGTTGGTATTCCTTTCACAGGGAAGTTGGTTCGAACCGTAGGGTCCTGGGGGTGACGAAGTATCAATATCTCTGTATTGATTGATTCTGCGTAAGGAGTAGAAGGGAGATTCCAACCGGAGGTTGGGTGGGTAGTCGAGGTCTAAGTGTACCCCCTCGAGGTGGCCCATGCTCTGCCCCTACTCGCGGCCGAATTGGACTTCCAATCCGACAATATCCTTATGGGCTTGCGGAAGAAAAGAGTCAACTCGATATCGTGCCTGTAGAAGTGTTTTCTGTACTTCTGTCCTCACGCAAGGTACCCAGTATTGTAGTAAAGTATTCACTTTTCCATGAAGATCATAAGGTAGCGCAGGTAATACTCACGCTTTGCGAAATGCCTGGGTAGCAAGAAACTTCGCAACGCAGAACAGGTAATTACCTGTCTGAAATCAACTACACGGCTTTCCACCCTTGGCTCCACGTCCAACACCACGTTTAACCCTGACCACACATCAGTCACTTGGTCAACCTCCTCAGAAAGCCTTCGGGTCAACTTCTATCTAGTGCAATAGCCTCTCACTCCTGGTACGTCGCGCTCGGCCTGGTCTATAAGCTGCAAGTGCTCAAGTATTTGGTTCTTTCAGTCCTTGAACCGAGCTAGCTTATTGAAACGTTCTCTATCTGAAATGTGTTCTTGGCTGTCAAAGACCACCGGAGTACTTTCTTGTGCCAACTTCACAGTTGAGTGCATTGTGAACAGCTTGCCATCTTCAGCTTTCGACGTCTGCAAGGAGATTGAAAGAACAACGGATTTTCCAGAGCCCGTTCTTTTAGACTTTTACATCTTGATACTCTCTAGGAAGAGTGATCGGAGCCTGAAGTACCTCACATCACACGGCTGAGCACGATTAGTCGGCATCTATTACCTCAAGCTGGACGGGGGGCTCTCACCCCCAGTATGGCAGCAGGGCAAAGGCCACCAAATCGGCCCTCTTGCTGCCACAAAATAAAAGAAAAACGTAGCGCTTGCCTCAAGTTTTCTCCCTTAGCCTCGTCGCTTCCCCCCCCCCCAACCTTCGCCTTCTACCAAAAGTCTTTCCAAAAGCCATCGCAAAACCATCGCAAACTTACAACAACAAACGAGCACACATCTATCGGGAAGAAGTTGAGAAGATGGCAACCGAGAGCGAGGAAGACGCGAACATCGCTCTCGCAGCGGCACGAAGAGCGGACGTCGTCGAAGGAAAGTTGATGGAGCTCAAGGTCCCTCACAGATTTGGCATCGAACGCCTCCAGGCTGCGAAAGCCAAACAAGCGGTTGGATTATTGATAAGCCAGGGCCGCGAAAATGTTTCCACTGCATGGTTCGCCTGGTTTGTGGACTTTGAGATTTGGGACTATATCCATGAGAAGTGTCAGTACCATCGCACCGATTATCCTACACATCAAGCCCGAGATCTTCTGCTAACGTTCTTTGAAACTGCATAGTCGCTAAATACCGTGACCACGAGACATTCCCGTGGATTGACCTCGAACCAGCCGTGAAGCCTAAGACCCCCGAAGACGCCTCCGCCTGGTGCAACGGCTTGAAGGACGCCATCAAGCAACGGTACCACCTCCCCGCCTTGGAGCGCAAGAGACTGGGTCTTTCCCTGATGAAGCCGGAGCCTACCCTTTTACGTGACACCGACGAAGCAGCTGCGGCTTTGCGTCAAGAAATCTGGAACAACGTCTTCCCTGGAAGAAAGCACCCCCACGGCAAGGCGTTCGAAGTCATCATCCCTTCTGCCGTCAAGATGTCCTCGGACTTAAACTGGGACATATTACAACATGAAAATCGTTTGCCAGATGCAGTCTGCTTCTTCACGGTCGGACGAGTCCACCGCCGTGGTCATTTTGCTGTGGCGCTTGTTCTCGGATACAATCCCGGTGTCATCGACAACGAAGCGAATAGATTGATTCTGACCAAGGCCTACGATGTCGTCTTGAAGTGGGCACAGACGATCGTCATCACCGGCAGAAGCATGAAGCTTACTAGAGCTTTCAAGGGTTTCGACCTGCCGGAGCCTGAGCTTGGTGGTGATGGAGAGGATACACGCATGGGAGGAATGGAAGAAGAGACGGAGCTCACGCAGGAGCAGCTCGAGCTTTGCGCCGGGGAGTTTGACGTGGTGCCGTTGAATTCTGTCGCAGATTACGCTGTCTTCCGGGTGAGTGAATGGCTTCACCAGGAGGTGGGCCGCACTCCTGCAGAGGATCGTTGCCGATTGCTCCGGGATTGGTGCCAGCTTGAGGATGGCAAGTTCCACCAGAACCTCGAGGGGATGACTCGAGAGGACCTGCAGAAGGCTTGTCGGGAAGCTTGGATGGGCAAAACTCATAATTGGAAGGAAACCTTGGACCTTACGATGTGGTCGTGGACCGAAGAGGTGTACTGGGCGAAGAAGATCATGGAATCTTTCGACTCTTGAGGGAGATGGTACACAAATGACGGAGAGAGATCATGGTACTTATGCCCGTCTTCTCACTCATGGGATGGCAGTCTGTTGGTTTCTAAGCAGGAGGTGACAAGGGCAGCGTACAAGTAGAACTCGGGAATCATGAAGGCCGTTTTGTATTCAGTATTGTATCAATCACGTCTATTATTCAACAACCACGCTTTCCGTCCATTTCCAAAAGCCGTCACACCTCAGATGACATTCTTCAATGACTGACTAGCACGGAACCGCCTCAAGTTGTACGCAATCAACGCCTCAGCATCCTGCGGCCGACCACCAGCAGCGTGCGGTGAGACAACAACATTCGGCGCCTTCCACAGGCGGCTCGACTCAGGCAACGGCTCCGTAACGAACACATCCAACGCCGCACCACCAACCTCGCCCGCCTCGAGCGCATCCACAAGAGCCTCCTCGTCGATGGAGGTACCGCGGCCGACGTTGATGATCCAGGCGTGCTTGGGCAGCTGCTTGAGGCGCGCGACATTCAAGGCGTTCTTGGTGGAGTCTGAGCCGGGTAGGATCATGACGAGGGCGTCCGTCTCGGGCAGCAGCTCGGCGAGCTTGTCCTCGCCGTAGATCTCGACGCCGTCGCGGATGCCCGCGCTGCGCGCGACGCCCTTGACCTGGGCGCCGAGGCCGCGGAGGTGCGGGGTGAGCGATTTCGCAATGTTGCCGAAGCCCCAGATCAACACGCGGGCGTCGCGGAGGGTGGTGAAGGCGTTGGCGGGGCGGTCGGGCTGGGGTCCGCCGAGGTGAGCGGGCCACTTGGACTGGAGCTGGTAGTCGCGCATCTCGTAGAAACGGCGGGCGGCGTTGAGGAGGAGGCCGAGGGCGTGCTCTGCGACGGTGTGGTCGTGGAGGCCTGATCCCGTGGTGACTGTTACCTTTGAGGTGTCGAAGCCGGCGCTGAGGACGTCGTTGGGGCCGGCGGCGAGGGACTGGATCCACTTGATGTTCTTGAGGCGGGCGGCGGCGTCCTTGAGGTTGTCGGCTGAGTTTGTCCAGGTGACGAGGATCTCGGCGTCTGTGTGCTCCTCGGGGATGGTGGTCTTTACGTCGTAGGGAACGAGGTCGACGGAGAAGCCCTGGAGGCTGTCGACGTCGAGCTTGAGGGAGGTGGGGTAGAGGAGCTTCATGGTTGTGACGTGTGTGGAGGTTTTATGAGATCTAGGAGATGAGATGTCAGTGAATTGGTCTCAATTGGAAGCTCGGGGAAGCTCGGGGAAGCACAGGAGGCCTTACATTATGAGGGATATGAGAGAATAATCTGAATACTGAAGAGATCGTGAAGAAACATCAAAGAATGAGACCGTCTGGAAGAAATGAGCGAGGGGTCACGTCTGGTTTTACCTAACCTCGGGGCAAGGCATACCGATGACGGAGAGACCGCGATCCAATAAAACACAATGCGCTCGACAGCTTTCGTGTAAGCGGGGGTGAATGGATATCCATGGACCATGGACGGGTTGGACGGGGTGGGATGGTGGGGGAACAGCACCAAATCCGCACCAAGTTCCACTCGACGACATCAAAAACGAAGCCATCCGCTTGTCGTTGGCGTCGTCAAGGTGGGGGCGGGGGCGGGGGAGGGGAAAGAACCCCGAACTTGGTTGCTGACATGATCCCGGGAGCCATTTGCGTGATGGCACTCAAGAAGAAGAGAAACCCTCGTTGCCCCTCTACGAGAGACTTCCAGAGCCCAAATTTACCCAGATGGTCCAAACTAAAGTAGCGCATTGCATGTACACGGTACTGACTCGTCTCATAAACCCGCAACTTTCTGCGTAGCAACACGTGTAGACGTGGAGTTGAGTTCGGAGAAATTTGCTACTATTGGACGAAAGCGTGACTATGGACCAAACTGGGTGTGTGCAAAACTTGGTGCGCGCCCGGGTTTCAGCGGCTATTGAGCAGCATAAACACCGATAGTTGCGGCAACTCATCGGATACTTCACCGTTCCATACCCGCCGGCGAAACGCCTCTTTGGGGGGGGGGGGGGGGGGGGTATGGGGGAGTTGGCTCTTTTTTTTCTTTTTGAGATGACATCGTCTGGTCGTGTGATTTGCGAGTGCTCTGAATCTTATTGTGGCTATCGAAAAGTCAACTCCAGATTCCCTTGCGGCTTTTGATCGAATTTTCTGATTGCCGTCACTCTTTTTGACGTCTCGATGTCTGTGTCCAACGAGTATCGGAGAACTTTCTGGAGTACCCCAACCTTGAACAAAGGCCTTGGCAATGGCTTTCGGTTCGGACGCGAAAGCTTGAACGCCAGGAAGATTTTCTGGTTTAAATAGCTTGGGTTGATAGCCGAATTCCGACATGCGCGATGATGCACTACATTCAGTCGGATCCAACATCATCTAGCTCCCTAGCTCCGCAGAACCGAGTGGGGTATTGTCTCCGTCCATCGCTTTCTACATACGGGGGAGAAACTCAAACATGGACGAGCAATAACCACTGAGAACTCTCAAGCCGAGTCTCAAGAAAGTCGGGTTTTCAAATTCGGCTTGAAAACGAGTGCGAGATACTCTGCGGTCCGCTTTATGTTGGTGCTAATAAATAGCCAGTTATGCTAGGGAGCGACGTGAAACTTCAGATTTAAGTCTTAATATTGTGGACTCGGTTTTTGAAGTTATTCCCTTTCCCAATGAACCTATATCGTTGAAGTTAGCAAAATCTCGGTGACTGGGTTTTCTGTCACTTGCCGAGCTCCTAGGAGTTTGCTCATAGGAGGAATTGAGGAGCTCTTATCACCCCAAACCTCCATCACTAACAATACATGCAGTCATATTCGGCCTAACAAGAGTCCTTCGAATTCTCACACAGATGTGCATCCCTATAAGGCTGTAATCCGGTAATTGACTTGATAAATATCACGAGCACTGCGAGGTCAAGATTGAGCAGCACTCATCCAGAGTTAAGGTCTCAATTAAGATTATTTGGTCATAGATGGTAGACTGCGAAAGTTCCATATCCCATCGGCCTAGCATCAGGAGAGGATGCATGGCATGATGCTGAACATATTACATATTATCGAGGGATATCGACATATGCAACATTGCTTAATTTGGGTTTATTCTTCGTTTAAAAGTTTCTGTGCTCCAAGTCATTCACATGCCGCTTCCTCTAAACCTTTCGCTCGCTATCTTCTATCCCCAGTGGCGGAGCTCGCACTCTCATGGCTGGAGTCATTGATACCTTACTTTACATAACTCCGAAATATCAGAGACGATTTCGAAATAGCTAAGCATCGCGGCAGTCTTTCCCAACCAGTCTTCAAAGAACTTCTTGGCGTGAACCTCGGCAGAGGATGCGCTTCCGTATTGAAGACGACCTCTGTCAATGGCATGTAGTCTACCGGCGAGAACAGCAAGTATAAGTATTTCAGAGTCTCGGCCTGCAGTCGGCAACGTCAGCTCGAAATCAACTTTGAGGGTAACTTTTAACCAGTTGATATAGGCACGACTTACCAGCCAGAAACTCTCCATGTTATCCCTCATTGCCGCGGGCACCGTCCGCACATCATTCAGACTAGTGTACCCCTCTCCGTCGGGCACCAGAGTATGCTTCTGAAACGACTGGAAGATCTTCCAGCCCCATTCTCGGTACATGGCGTTGCCAGTGATGCGGTACGTCATGAACAGACTCTCTACCGTCTCCGGTCTTTGCAAGTTGTGAGAGTCGAGGTGGGCTTGATGATGAAGTCCTTTTTCCACTTCGACAGCGCTGAATTCAGTTAGCAAGAGCCCTCTCCCGCTTGTGCAAGGATGGAAGGAAAACGGCAACTTACAACTGCTCTCCTTCCTCAGCCACCTGTCGCCGGGCCCGGGTTGTAAGTCCGCCTCGGTGGCGTTGAACCACACAATCTCAGGGGCGAGGCCGGTGTCAGTGACGGCGTACATGCCCTAGCAGGTGTTCATGATCTCGATTGCGAGTTCGATATCGTCTTCATGCTGGTGTGTCCAGCCCGGGTCGCGACGGGCTTCCGCAAGGGGCCGCCTTTCTGTCGCCTGTGACGATGGAGTTTAGCCAGTACATCCCTATAGAATAATACAGTGAGAGACGTGAGAGACTCACAGCCATGGCGATTGTGCCCGGAAGGAAGCAGACGAGATGATCCATCTTGAGAGAAAGCGCTTCTCCCACACCGTGCATTCCAGCTTGTCAAAAACGCATCCTTTACTTCCTCTCTTCTGTCGTCCCAATCGACGAACTGGCCCTGCGGACTGTACTGCGTGTGCCCGAGAGCATAATCAGAGAAGTATCCTCTAAAGCATACGACAAGAATTCCAGAGATGAATACGCCAATGAGGACATTGCGTATTCTCCGTCTCAGTGATTTCTTCCTCTCGTTGGACAATTGTATGGCGATCCGAGTATTGCGACCGGCCGAACCAGCGGCCTTGGATCGTGTGGGTGAGTTGCGGCCTCGTCGATTCGGTGAGGAGCCCATCGTGGTGTTTTTTTTTTTTTTTTGAGACTACACTCTAGTCGGAAACATTCCCGGATTGGTGCAAGGAGACTGCCGTTCGGATCTCCTGTCTGGAGCGGTGATTACCTATGCGGCGACGTCCGCTCCTAACACTCTAAGTTGGACAATGGTAACATCAACTCTCACGCAACCCGGCTTCGCCGGTGCCATTGCAGTGCTGGGGTGGACCTTCGAGGAGACAGCAGCCGATTCAACAGTAAGCATCACCGGGACTGACGCAACTCCATCCGCCACAGACGCAGTCAACAGCAATACCCCCGCCCTTCCTCGCGAAACTGCATCAACCACGACACTTTCGCCCTCGAGACCAACGTCAACGCCCGAGTCCGCAAGCCTCCCGTTGTCTACCACTGTCGGAATCGGCGTAGGCGCTGCGGTAGGGGTTATCGCGCTGGCCATCCTCGGATTATTCGTGTGGCGCAGGAAGCGCAGGCAGCAGCGGAGGATAGAAGAGACTGCACCAAACGTTGAAGAGCATCATGCAAGACCTCTCGAGCCGGAAAAGTTCATGTCTCCTACTCCACAGTACCATGAACTCTACGTTCATCAGCATCAAAGGCGTCGTCAAGAAGTGACAGAGTTGCCTGTTCCACAGTACTTTGCTGAGCTGGATGGAAGCAGGCCTGCGTCAAGGCTAGCTGAGTTTGGCCGGGTCGTAAGGTGAAGGTGTGATGTTTGAACAAGAGCTTTAGAAATCGGGGAGTTATGAAGCAGAGATGGAGTCAGTCTTGACCATCCTTTGGGAATACCATTGGCGTTGCGATCGGATTCGTCTTGTGGGAGTTCTTTTCTATGCGTAGATGATACTAGAGATACCTTGACCCTATTGTAATAATTGAAATGCGACATCTAATTGTAAACATCCAACATGATTAGTACTGATCACAACCCAAGCTTCGTCAACTCACTCTCCAGACTCACCCTCCACGCCCTCGCCTTCTCTCCCTTCCCCCTAGGATAAACCTCACATATCGCCCTCGTAAAGTTCACAACCCTCTGCACCGTCTCCTGGACGCCCTTGTAAGGCCAGCCCCCAACAACCTCAACTTCAACCCCCTTCTCCCGACAAACCTCCCTCGCCCACCCCCTCATCCTCTCCCTCTCCGCCTTCGCCGCCATCTCATCATCCCCTCCGCCCCAAGGAAACAAAAACGCATTCGGCGGATCCCACCTCGGCCCCGGCACCACGCCGCCAAACTCCCAGTCCAAAATCCCCGTCACCGTGCCGTCCATATCAACCATAACATTCGCTAGATGCAGGTCCCGGTGCGAGAGAACATACCGCGTATCATCCACCTCGTCCGCATGAATCCTAACATACTCCCGATACGCCTCCAACCTCGGCACGAGATCCCTCATCCACTCCAGCGAAGCATGCCTCCCAATCGCGTAAACATACTTCTCAACACTCTTATCAAGAAGCTCCACCCACCCCGAAAACGCACCTTGGACAGGATTCAACGTCTCGGGCGTCTCCCCATCCCAATACCTTCCAATCTCAGGCTCCATCCAAAACCACTCATCCACAACCGGGCCCGGCACAATCTCCCCCCCATCACCGACCCTCAACCCGCCAACATGCCTCCACACGTCCCTCGACCTCTCCCACAACTCCGCAAGAAACCCCACAAGCTGCTCAACAAGCCTCCTCCTCGCACCTTCCCCCATTTCCCAAAAGATCTTATCCGCACTACACCCAGGCATCCGTTCCAACAACGTAAACTCATACCCCAGCACATTCGCACACGAGGAATCCCAGCGCAGCACGGCGGGGACCGGGACGGAGGTGTGTTTGCGGACCCAGCGCATTGTGGCGACTTCGTTTTCTGTTTTGATGCGTGGGAGGTGGGGGCCTGCTATGCGGAGGACGAGGGTTGTTGTGCCGTCTGCGTTGGGACGTGCTGGGGTGAGGTCGGGGGAGGCGGAGGGGGAAAAGTGCAGGAGGTAGATGCTGTGGAAGGCTGCTGTTACTGTTAGGGGCTCTGTGTGGGTTGGTGGTGGGAGTTGAAGGGAGGTTGTGAAGGCGAGGAGGTGGGTTGGTGTGAGGAGGGGTGGGAGGTGTGCCGCGGGGTCGGCCATCTTGAGGGTTTTCGGGGTTGGTTTTTTTTTTTTTTTTTTTTTTTGTTTTGATATTGATGTCTCTGCTGTTGAGTTGGAACGGATTCAGGGATTAGAAACGCAGCATCGAGCTCTTGTCTTTATGTCTTTTTCCCCTGATCGAAGCCTTCCCCCAACCTTCCTAAAACGCGCAAAGTTGCCTTCTCGATGAACCGTCACTGGAAGGTGATGTTGATGCGAAGTAAGCGCTACCGTCCCGGCCCCACATCTCTAACCAATACCGGGCCCGGTGCCGAAGATCGGGTCCTCTTTCCCGGTTGAGCCATCGTGCATCACCCGCCCACCGGCTACGCTTGCAAGGAAGTCGCTCCATCAATCACAACCGCCATCTATCCGTATCGCAATGTGTATCAAATATCAGAGATGGACAAAGTGTCGTTCATCTCTTCAAAATGATCATATAACGACATCAGCAAGGCAAGAACGCCCCGTCGTTTTCTGCGTCGTTGCCAGGCTTTCACCCCTCCACCCCGAACCCCAGCCACGCGGGTGGAGTCAGACAGCGTAGATCTATCTGTTAAACATATACAAAGATGCGAAGCTCTCGTAAAGACCAACAGAAAACAGGGAGCAAAGGCTTGTGTGCTCATGGGCGACCTGGAGCTTCTTCTGGAAGACGTCCGTCGCCAGGAGGTCTTGTCGAGGCGTCGTTGCGAAGCAGAGAGCCGACGAGATAGATGAATGGAGAAAACCTTTTCTCCAGGCAAGTATCTAAATCATGAAGTCCCAGATTGGATATCTGTGTCCTCTCTGGACGGGCAAGCTACTCATACTTGTATGCCATTGACCTCCGTAACCGTCTTCCATCACATGTATATACCGTCCCTCTATTCCCAAGATAGAGAGCAACGATACTTCCCTAGTATTTGAACTGATATCGGACAACCACAAATTTACGTCTTCCTTTCCTACGTCTTCCCTTCGATATATACCTACGGCTAGTACATTGATTCCACGCCAGAGCAGCGATGCGCATCTACCAGGCGAAAAGTTTTGTAGGTACACTGCTGTGTCTTCATTGCACCAAGAACATGATCGAACTCTCCTTATATACCCTCTACCAGAAGAATCCCATGCACAAGCACATTCCCTCCGCGCCAACTTCAGCGAACGCTCTTCATCAACATAGGGCACTCTGGTCACCTTGCCATCTTCACTTACCTTTGTGTACTTAAACCTTGTTTCCAATGTAAACGTTCAATCTAACCGCTACAAAGACAACACACCCCAAGCAAAAACACTCGACACCTTTAAAATCCTTGGCCCCCAAAATATCCTCCAAAAGCAGCACGTCCCCAGAACACCACGTGGGAAAAACATCGTCACCGGCCAGCCGGCACCTTTTCTGAACCGTTCTCCTTCTCCCCCTCTCAACTCCTTTCGCAATCACCCCCACTTGGACATCGAGGTGCCGAACCAACCGACCCGGACCGGCGCATTAGTGCCTTTCCTGTCCAGCCACCAGCCACCACGACTCACGTCTCTCAAACCCTCAAACACCAAGCACAGATCCTCTACACATTAACCCAGCCTATCCTTGCGAACCAAACGCGAAAACGGGCAGACATACACCAAGGAACCTACCTACTTTAGGTACCTAGATAAAGCGGCACAAAAAAGATCTCAAAAAAAAAAAGAGCCGCGCAATCAATCGGTAGCCGCCAAGCCGGCCACCAAGAGCGTTTAACAAAATGTGCGAAACTCTCTCTTTTAATCAAGTTTGCGGCCCTCAAAAGCGTCTTCGGCCTTCTCCCAGATTGATTAGATCCGGAAACATGAGTCTTTTCCGCTTCTATTTTCACAGGCTTGGTATTTTGGCTTCGATATCTTGGCCAAACACCAGGAGCCTTCTCTTGATGAATACATCTTCGCCCATGATCTATGTGGGAATCTCGTTCTCGTCAACTCGGAATTCTCGACACGGCATTCACCTGGATCCCGGCGCCGGGACACATGGTCACTTGAACTAGGTGCGATAGGCTGCAGTTGACTCGTGTTGCTTTTTGTCTCTGTCTAGCCGTCTATGCCCATCTTATCATTATTTCACCATTATGCTTCTTGACTCAGTATACTGCTATGCATTGGGACTCCAGAGCCCCGTGGTATTTCCCCCACTATCCACTGTCTCGATATCGTTCTCTGCACTTGGGCCTATTGGGACTGGGCGTCGAAGAGGCATCGGTAATTACAGATCAACCCACATGCCAAATAGACAAGTAAAATCCAAAGACAAGTGCCCAGGTACAACTTTCCATCAATTAGTCATGTCTGTACAAATGCGCGCAGCTGGCTGGTGTTCAGGTTATCTTGTCCCAGCTGCAAATGCATCGCTCGGGGACTGCTTTTCCGTCGGCCTTCCTCCATCCATCGGCATGCCACCAGGGTACACGTGAACTCAAAACAGGCATCGAGCATCCTTGCACATCCTGGCCCAGCCTATCGCGTCAGCTGAGTCGCAATGGTTCTTCGCGACACTGATTCTTTCGCTGTCCTCGTCGACTGCCGGATACAGATCATCTAAGCGTGAGCGGCCGGGGCGGCGACGGGAGCAGCTTCCTTGGCAGCCTCAGCAGCGGGGGCGGCGGGCGCAGCGGCAACGGGATCAGCGGCAACAGGAGCAGCGACAGCGGGAGCAGCAGCAATGGGGTTGGCAATGTTGGCGGTAGCCAGACTCTGCTGGGCGACCTGGATGATGTTGGCCTGGCCGAGGGTGTTCTGGGGGAATCGGGCGTTGAAGCCAATGACATCGCGGACGGCAGTGAAGGTTTGGGGCTGGACCATCAGACGCTGAGTTGAGACGAGCCACTGAACACCCTCGGAGCAAGGAGGAGTGGTGAGGGAACCCATGTAGCTGCAAATGAATTAGACATTGGAAACCAAAGGAGATTGCCAAACGCGGATCGTACCTCTGGAAGCTACCGGCGGAGAGCAGGGTAACAACTTCTTGCATGTCCAGCGCGCCAGTCTTGGTGACGGTACCGGGCTCCTTGATGGCATCGAGGGAAGAGAAGACAGTCTCAAGCAGGTTGGAAGAAGCAGCCTCGGCCTTGATCGGGTTGGTTCCCATCGCGGGGATAGCCTTCGGGGCTTCGGCCGCCGCTTCAGTAGCAGCGCGGCGGGCCAGCTTGGTGCGGCGCTCGGCAGTGGCGTTTCCTCCAGCGGGAGCAGCTTCGGCAACAGGAGCAGCCTCAGCGACCGGGGCGGCGGGGGCGGCAGCGGCAGCGCCCTGCTCCAAGTCGATGTAGGTACCAATGACAGCAATCTCCTGGTTGGCACCCTCGAAGACCATGTGCATCTCCATAGCCATGCTCTTTCCGGCATCGAGATGCTCGCTAGGCAAGTGGAAGTGGAACTGCTGCAGGGTGAAGTTACTGCCTCCAACTTGCATCGATCCACCCTTGGCGATAACCTCGACGGTGGTTCCCAGGTTCTCGAACTCGGTGCCCTCGGCCATGTCGGGGATCTCGAGGTTGATGGAGCTTCCGGGGAGAACGTTGAAGGAGCCGGCGACCATGTCGATAGGGGACTGGGTGGTTCCCGTGGCGCACAGCTGGTTGGCAGTAGCATCCAGAGCGACCCAGTTCAAGGGGCCCTTTGAGAAATCGTTAGTCTTGGATATCTAAACTCTTGTGAAAATATACCACTTACATTGCTGCCGGTGTAAGCAAAGTTGTTGACCTTGACCTTTCCCTCCTCAGCGCGAGGATCCAAGTGAGTTCCGTAGGCGCACGAGGCCAGGACCTGAGAGATGGAGGCGGCGAAGAAGCCGAAGGTGATGAGACGGGAAGACATAGTGATAAAGGTAGGATACGGGACCAGCGCGTGGGGAGCCTACAAAGGATCGAAGGAAGGGAAGAATAGAAGCGAGTTACACAAAAGTAGATTATTGAAAAAAACGTATGACCAGCCCTCTAGGGGAAGAAACGAAACGAGCGGGAAATGAAGTTAAAGGTGAAGAAAAGACAGATGATGAAGATGAGAAACGAGATGAGCCGAGAGAAGAATTATGTTTGCGTCAAGATGGCATGATGTCTATATACTTTGGATCTGTAAGACTCTAGTCGAGGGCTGGTTATCGTGATGATCTACCTCACAGGTCCAAGAATAGCATCAATAGGCAAGAACCCATGCGAAGATGGCCGGGGCGGATAAGCAGCGAGGGACGGAATCATGGTGAGGATCTTGGCATGTGCTTCATCCAGGGTGTTGAGGAGCAGTGAGAGGCTCAGAAGGAAAAAGAGAACGGGTTGATGAATGAGGTTGAGGGTTCCCTGTGTTTGGGGATGAGCGCCTCCGTTTCCCATGGTATCGCGGGCGTGTTTTTGGCGCAGAATGGGAGGGGGCTTTCAAGCTTCTCCATCAAATGCGACTGCATGTCATCTGAAATATGGACCAGGATTGATCATTGAGGGCAAGCGGCCAAGGCCGGGCGAGACTATTGAGACGGAGGAGGAAGAGGGCCGTTTGGACAAGAGAGCGGAAGCCAGGGCCCTGTGACCCTGGTCGAGTCAACAGGATGGGAGTCCGTCGCCAGGGTGAAACTGCCAGGCTCCGGAGGGTTGGACGGGGTGTGGGGAATATGGCCACTTTGTGATTTTGGTGCTTGGCCAAGTCAACGGCTGTAGACAAGACCCCTGCGGTGCGCGTTCCACGAGTCTCAATGTGGGAGTTGAAGTGACGGCTGGGAGAGAAGCGCTGGTTCGGACGGAGGCGAAGCCCCCTTCCCAAAGACCATCTTAGCGGTGATCTTCTTGAGACAATCAGCTGGATATCAACACCATCATGTTCGATGATGCTGAATGAAGGCATTCACCCAAGTAATCTCCAAGAAGCGGGAGGGCGGCTAAAAATAAGCATTTGGAAGGATCGACGACAAGAGCGGCGTTGGCCGAGTCGAAGCCGGAAGAATATGCGGGAGTGATGTCTAGGAGAAGACGGGAGTCAAGAGTTGAGGCTCTTTGTCCAAGAGGCCGAGCAATGCATCCAAGAGAATACCAAGAGCTTGGAAGGCGGGGAGCAGCACTTGCCACTGGAGCACGAGACTCAGACATGATGGAAGGTGCCATGGCAAGGTGGGCCATTGGTACGTATCTCTCGGACTTTCCCTGGACCACTTGTAACGGGCTGGCTGAGAAGGAAAGGAAGGGACTGCTCTGTGCTGAGTTATCCGTGCTTGCCCACCTACGTACTACCTAAGGAGGTATCCGCACGTGTCTCCTTCCTCGACTGGGTGAGGGCGTTAGAGGCGTAAAGAAAAGATGGTAGGTGCGATGCCTGCGGTAAGGTATGGTCTGGGCAGCAACTTCAGGTTGAGGTAACCCCAAGCCTGCTCTTCCCTTCTGTCTTAGGGACGCACATCCATAGGTGCCTACCTAGGTAAGTCAGGTAAGGTGAGTCTGGTACGGAGTAGAGCTGTAAAGAACCATTTAGTCGTTCCTGCTCGTACTCGTACGCGTGGCAGATATGGCAAGAGTAAGGTAATGGCAAGAAGCAACCAGGGATGAGGCAGCCGTCAGAAAAAACCTTGTTCACCATTGGTAGCGCTCTAAACCTTAACAGCCTTTAAGCCATGCACGACCTCCTGCTCTTGCCTGTCTCTGTCACGTTGAGTCTGTTCGGACGACACAGGGGCATTCAGGCCCGCTTTTCCCAACCGTCACCGCGTGCTGAGACGACGCACGGGACACACAGCAGCCAGTTCCAGACCGCAGCAGGAAAGAGCAAGTTGACCGCATGGCAAGACCCGGTGCAAGCTGAAGCACCTCAGATGAAGCACGTTCCTTCCTACCTCAACGGATACTGCAATCCAGATCACTGCCTTCCTTCTTACGTTGCAGCCAAGCTACGGGTGAAGACTGAGGAGAGCCCGACAACATGTCTGACAGACACGCTAAGACTGAAAAGACGTTGGATCCCGTCGAGAGGTGAGAGGTTTGTGAGAAGGGATGACAGGAAGAAGGGGTAGAGAGAAGAAAACAGCTGATTTTTGCAGAGCCAAGAGGTTAAATGGTTGCCAAGTCAAACTGGGGGCAGAAGTGGAAGGGGGGGAAGTTGGTGATGGCTGACGATATGTGAGCCGCCGCCACAGTGAACGGGAGGTTCGACTTAACCTCAAGTCCGCACCCAACTGACTAAGCGATGGAAGACTGCCAATGAGGAAGCGTCGTGATGTGGGAGCGCCTGGCTGCTGTAGGCCGCCTGCTAATGGACCGCTTTAGGACTACGTTCGCCGGCCGCGCCTCTCGCCAAGTCTTGCACCTCCTGATTTCTTCTGGGCGCGTCTCACGCCTTTCCAAACTGCCGGGGCCTGCGACAAACCTCCACCTCCGCATCTCAACTTCACCAATTGTCTTCGACGACATCGCCTACGCGGTAGCATTCGTCTGCTCTTCAGCCCCGGTCCCTCCCATTCTCTACCAGCTACGTCAGTCTACGAATCAACCCACCTTGTTACTTGCCTACATCGTCAAAGTTCGGACTTCTGCAACCCACGCAACCGTCCATCACCAGTGCCACGCCTCGCCGCGCCCCCATATGTCAGCCATGCCATCCTTCTCCGCGCTCCCGCCGACCGATTCGACCTCCCCGTCGGCACCGCCTGCCTTCATCTGAAGCTCCTTGGCGCGCTCCAAACGTCAGATGGCCCCTCCTTTGGCGCCAAGTCCCAGCGTCTACTGGAACCGCGTCTGATGTTTTAACGACGACATGGGAACTCGAGAAGCTATCCCCATCTTCTCAAGTCTCTACAGGCTCACCGCCATGGCCTTCACCCCAGTACTTGCCTGCCGGCCAGCCGTTTAACAGTGGTCCCGACTGAACGACCTGATTCTTGATCCCCACAGAGAGCAGAAAGAGTTACCCTCCAGCTGGGTAGGCCTGACGCCCTCTCTTTGCCTAGACCACTCGATGGTCCGTCCTCGGTGTCCGGCGCGCAACTTGCTCAACTCGACATTGGCGCTGGTCTTCGCTTTCGCTATTCGTTTGGAACCCCATCTTTGCCGACGACTGGCCAAGTTGCCCAGCGTTTTCGTCTCCATCATCCACAAGAGAACTCAATCTGAATGCGACGTCACCCATAAGGTCCAACGACAGTCTTCAGCAGAGTCGTCTTGGCGAATCCCGAATGCCGTCTTGGTGGCCAAGGGACGTCGTCATCTCCATCATCACCAAGGGTTCCTGACCAGTTTCCTCCTGCGACGCATAAACCACGCAGCCGGTGACTGGTCACCGGCGAGCGTGAGCCAAGACGACTTCTCCTCATATTTCGTCAGCACCGCCCGCAACATTCGGCCTGTCAGTCGGTTCATCCAACATCCGCAAGATCTGCGTTGTCTACGCTGTCACTGTCACTTGACCCAGGATGAACCGCACCGCGGCCGGAACGTCTCAGCGAGAAACACTGGCGTTGCTTCTCTCGCCACTTAAGATTCTGTCTACATGGAACTCGTGTATCGGTTCTACGGTGTCTGAGGAGGGACTCAATGCATCAAAAGGCGGCAAGAGAATGGGAATCCGCCACTCCTTGAAAGAGAAGGGCTCTATAAGCATGACGATGCCGCGGCGACAGCACTCATGACTGCGTCTTTCCGGAGTAGATCAGCTTGGCTGGTAGCGAGGACAGCGAAATACCCCTGAGCATGGGGGTCTTTTCATTTCAACAAGAAGTTGAAGCTGAACATACGCATCCCTCGCATCCCTCGCGTCCCGCAGCAGACTGGTTCGCCCCAATTCGGATACCACTTCTCCGTTCCGTTGCAAAGACGGGCTGGACAACACTGCTTTCGCATTGCGGATACAAACGTCGCCAAGCACTTACCGTTGCTTTGAGAGCAGCTAACGTCGTACTAGAACTCTTCTCCGCACGTTGCAACCTCAGCAAGCTTGCTTCTAACCCTTGTAGTGAGACATCCTTAATTCTTCCAGGGCTGGAAATTGGCGATTGGTCCTGTCCAGGTCGCACTTCTCGGCGTCTGGACGTTCCATCGTGCCCTGCAGCACTTGGCACTTGGCTGCTTGTCCCGCCGTGCCTCTCCGCTCGCTATTGCAGGCCTCTATTGTCCGCCGAGAGACACCAGCAAAATAAGCTTCCACTGCCCAGACCCTAATCGCAATGAAGTGTCGACGGTTGCTGCAAGTGAACAGCACTAGGTGAAAAAGATGGAAGACTGGCGCTCGAAGATGGACATACCTCTTTTTCACGGCCACATCAATCACATATAAGCCAAAAGCCATGCCGTCAAATGATGTTTCCTTTCCGCACTTTTCAGATTTTGATCATGTCGTGTACGAATACTCAGCCCATGATGGCCGACTCGAAACGTGGAGCCCCCTTGATGATGGAGAGCGCGCGCGACCCCAGCCGCGTATCACGAAACATTGGTCATTCTCGCCAAACTTGCTTGTTGGTGGGCAGGAGTCGAGAAGACCAAGGGTCTTTTGAAAACTTCAAGGCCTTCGACTCGTCTCCTGACGGATGGTTTGCGGTTCGCTTTGCCCGCTCTCGTCCCGCTGACTCATCAATCTTACAACTTTCAAGTCAAGGGGGTTGATGCTGACCTGGAGGATAGATGACGCATAATCGTTGCGGCGAGGTCCTGTCTAAGTAGGGTTCATGCAGATGTCTAGCCGTCACTCGTATAAGCCATTTCGCACTAACATTTCCCACTCATCTTTATTTCTCCGACGGGATAGACTAATCCCTAAACTCGCTGATTCTACTCCGTAGATTTTAATCCGTACGGCGTCCTGAATCGCTTCCCTCAGACAATTTTCCAGTCCGAGCAACCATCTCGTAGGCTTGATGGTTTTCCTGTGTTTAAACGATCTTGTTCTCATGGGCTGAGAGGAAGAGGCCATTCATAATGTATCCCTCCTGAGAGATTCTCGCTGGTAGTAGCCCCACTCATCGGCCGGCGACCGCGGAGAAGTGGAGTATCTCGCTTACCGAATCGGGAATGCGAAAGACCGTACTCCACTTCCACGCCCGCGCCCCGGACAGTCGGCGTTGACAGAGGCGTCGTTGGTCAAACACATGCATTCTGGTTGGATTGAGATGGGGGATTTCTAACTACCTTGGGTCAATTGAAGGAATGCACAATGATAAACCCCCCGAGTTTTAGGCAGGCAACCCAGAGATTGATGCTCGGATGGCTTACGCCTACGTTCGGTACTAGCGTGGTCCGCAAACTCCGCTTTCTTGTTATCCCGGTGGTGCTAACCCGGTGAGGAATGCGAAGCTATCCGAAGCTTCGATGTCGTGGTGTATAAAGATGATTGGATCTTTTCGACAGGTGATTGAAACCACTGGCGTTTGTTTCATTTCATAACCTCGCAAGGGAGCTGTCCACCATATTCTTTCTTGACTCAAGCTTTCTCTCGCGATTTCAATCCTCATCAAAAACATACACAAAATGGTCACCCGCGCCCAAGTCCAACACTCCAACGCCGCCCTCACGGCACAAACCGCGCCCCGAACGGCCGTCTTCTTCGGCGGGACATCGGGTATCGGCAAGCTCACCCTCATCGAGCTCGTGTCCCTCGGCCATCCCATCCGGGTCTACATTGCGGGCCGGAAAGCAACAGAGCCGGCGATGAGGCCTGTCCTCGAGGACCTACGACGAAAGAACCCCCGGGCCGAGTTGGTTTGGGTCGAGGCGGAGGTTTCGTTGTTGGCTGAGACGAGGAGGGTGTGTGAGGTTGTTAAAGAGAAAGAGACGAGTCTTATTTTTTTGTGTTTGACGGCTGGGTATGCGCCTTTTGGGGGGCGGAACGGTGAGTATGAGTGTGGCTTGTCTGACTATGATAAAGTCACGAACGTGGTATGATGAAATAACGATGCTGATCCTTTCATGTCCTCGGATGGTAGATACTTCGGAAGGGATAGATGTCTGCCATTCTCTGGAGTACTACTCCCGCATGCTCGCAACCCTCCACCTCCTCCCCCTCCTCCGCGCCTCCGCATCCGCATCCACCTCAACCTCATCCTCCCCCGGCCCCACCCCGCGCGTCCTCACCGTCCTGGCAGGAAGCATGCTCTCCACGCGCATCGACGCAACAGACCTCAACCTCACGCGCTCGTCGCCCAGCAGCGGCAGCAGCAGACTCTTTGGCTTCAAGACGCAGACGCACATGGCAATCATGAACACCCTCTTTCTAGATACACTCGCCGCCGACCCGGCTAATGCGGGAGTCGGGTTCGTGCATAATTGGCCTGGGGCGGTGGATACGGGGAACATGGCGCGGTATCATACGCCGACGTGGTGGAGTCCGTTCCCGTTGACGAACTTGTTGAGGCCGTTGTTTTTGGTGATGGGGTTTGAGGAACGGGAGGCGGGAGAGAGGCATGTTTATTTGGGGACGAGTGGACGGTTTGGTGGGAGGAATGAACAGAAGGAAGGGGAGGGGGAAAAGGGATGTAAGAACACGAGGGGGGAGGAGGGGAGGAATGGGTTGTTTTTGGTGAATCATAAGGGGGAGGTTTCGTATAGTGAGAGTGCTTTGGAGGCGTTGAGGGGGGATGTGCAGGGGAAGGTTTGGGATTTGACGATGGAGATTTTGGGGCCATTTTTGTGAGGTGTCTTTCTGGGTTGGTGGTTGAGGGAGGGTATACCGGGACTTTTGAGGTATGGATGACAAGATTGATGCAGGGCTTTTGTGGTTACGGCTGAGGTCATTCATGCAGATGAACTATCTCCTACTATTGTCTTGATGGACGGACCCCTAATATCTTAATCTGGGTCAATTTGAATTGATTTTGTGTATTTTGACAAGGCTATGACACATGATGACTGAAATTGTTTGGAGATTATATGGCCATGGTTGTGTCCTAGTGCTGAATTCAGTCTTTATATAAGACTTCCCATGAGAGTAGTACCTAGCACCATGATCGAAGCTACTTTAGTTGATAGTCTTGCCTCAACTTCGGTCTTCAAATATTGTGTTGACTATTTATTCTGGATAATCGTGCCGAGAAGGAGTTTGTAATCCCTGACTGTATGAGGCGCCAAAGATCTGGCGGTTCATTCAAGGCCACTAATTTCTGTTTGCGAAAAGGTCTGATGAGAAATGATAAAGTCAATAACTTTCATCTTAAGATTTCCAGACACTAATTTCGATCCCTTGGTCTGCCGTCTATCAAGTTTACCTGTTGATTTACCGAATTCTGTGAATGAACCCACTGATTTTCATGAAACAACTAAAGGCAGCTTTACCCGGGTACTCACTTATATAACTGCCATCAAACACCTGTAAGGCACTCCAGTCTCAGACGCATGAAACAACAAGAGCCGAGGCTACGTATATGTCGAGGGCCGAGAACCATCTTTCTTGGCTTTTCCTTCTCAAATTCACTTGAATGGAAGTAATGAAGCCCATCTACCTCGGGAACATTCTCACCACACACACACACACCGATTGAGGCGCACATCAGATCCACATTTCCTCCGTCATTATGCTCACCAGGCGCGTAGTCTGAGTACGATATGGATCAAAAGCAAAGCCAACGTCGATGCCGCAGATACAAAACTCATCTGTGAATCCTGTAGTACACCAGCAGGCCTGTATACTCAAGGGCTTGTGAACCGTGCGATTTCCTCAATACTTGTGTCTCCTTCAGCTCCTTTGTCTCTTTTCGTCGGTAGCTTTGCGTAGCCCTATCACTATCAAGCACCCGACATCCCAACGACCCGTAGTAACTCGACTTAAAGCTTATTTGTAAACTCCTCTGTCTGAGACAAAACTGGCCTATCCGGCGTCTGACACTCTAGGTGGGGTAAGGTCATCGGGAATCCTGAGATGCGGAGTACGATTCAACGCCGGCGCGAGCTTAGTGACTTAGCGTTGGTAAGTGGGGTGCCCAACGTCAGCGCCATCGTTCGCAACGGCTCCAAGCTTGGCTGCGACTTCACATGCACGTAATAGCGTCGGGTTGGAGGGGAAGAGAAAGAGGCTGGGAAGCTTTGGAGGCTCGGAGAGCTAGATACCTACACTACGCAGTAATAGAGGTGGGAGGGGCAAAAGGAGGGTGGGATGGAGGGGGGGAAAGGGTCAGCCCGCAGCAGGATGCAACCCTGCAACCAAAGGTCATTTGGACGGAACTTTCTTTGATTGTTTGCATGTCTTTTGTATGTTGACTGCTCCTCGCAACGGGAATCCTAGTTCATCGTGTTGTTCAGTTCTCTCTTCATCATCACTGACGGGGAAAACAGCTTCAAACCATGCCATCTTCGTCCTCGTGACGAACCGCCGCCGGGGATCTCGACCACGTCATCAGCGTGAGGCTCAAGGCACCTGACACCCCATCAAATCCAGCCAAGATAAGAGATCTACACCAGCTGCCACCCTCAAAGGTATCTTAAACCATCAAGCCTTGTTTCCTACAAGGCTGGGCGTAGCGAACAAACAAGCCGACAACCAAAGAATCATGCCCTTCCCAGTCCTCTCCAAAGAACCCATCCCAGGCCTCTCCCTCTCAGCAGCAGGCCTCGTCGCCCTTGCAGACCTGCAAACCATCGCCAACCGCACCGCGCTGACGGGGACGTCGTCGTGGTTCGACGCCCTCGTCCTCGCGCCGGGGTTGCATTACCAGCAAGCAGCCGATAGCGTCGCGGGGAGCAGCGGTGCTGTCACGGCCCAGACGTCCGCTGCGTTCGCCTCCGGAGGTGCCGCTGCGGGAGGGAACGGGAACGGCGGCGCTGGTATCTTTGGCACGCAGGCATTACCCGGCGGTAGGAAGAAGGATGTCAAAGTGACGAATCCAGGCATGCTGCTTTTTCTTTCTCGACTTGGGGTCCAGGAGGAGCGGGCTAGGGAGAAGGAGCTTAAGAGGAGGAAGTTATCCGCTGGCGGCGGAGTCGAAGCCTACGGCATCGGGGCCGGGGGAGGAAGCGGGGAAAAGATTATCACACTCGACGTCGGCACCCTCTCCACCGGCCGGAAGCGGAGCCGGAGCCGGAATCGGCGCGGCAGGGCTTTTGCGCACGATTCGGAGTGGGAGTTTGAGCGGGGGAGTCACCTGCTCTACCTTGCGAGTCCGGTCCTTACGTTTGCTGCGTTGACTATCATGATTTTACTGGCGGACTGTAAGTTTTCTTCAAATGTCTTCAATTTTTCTCCCGTCTCCCTCCCCAGGCCTCTGGCTCCCCCCTTCTGCATGGTAACCCACCTCGATCGTTCGATTTCCACCAATCCCCTAGTTCACGATCTCTTCTCCCATAATCAATCTCAAACTAGATCTAACGGTGGAGTATTCCTTCCAACAACGAAACTAACGTCTACAAAGGGTGGGGTCTCGCATCGATCCTAGCACTCATCACATCCCGCCTCCTAAACATCTACATCATCAAACAACGCACCCCTCCCCCCGCTCCTCCTCTTCCTCCTCCGGCCCCAGCCCCGGCCCCCTCTGCTTTCTTCACTAGCACGAGGAACAGCAACAGCAACGGCAACGGCGTAATACCACCGTCAGAGTACCTCATCCCCCTCACCCCAACCCTCAAGATCCGCATACGCGGCCCCGCAGACGACCTTGCCGCCTTAACAACAGACGCCTGGCTCCTCGCAAAGACAGCGGTACAGGGCTACCTCGAAGCGACGGCAAAACTAGCTGTGTACGTCGTCGCCATCTTCAGCGGGAACGTCTCGCAGGCGGGGAATATTGTGATGCTTGTGCTGTTGCTGGGGAGCGCGGGCTTGTTGGGGCTGAGTAATGGGTTCATGAAGGGGGTTCGGGGCAAGGGGCGCGTGGCGAGGGTGTGGCATGGTGATGGGCCTGGTGGCGGCGGCGGTGGTGATGGTGCGGGAAGTGGGGGGCGGGCTGGGAGGGGGCACGAGATGGGGAGGACTAGGCCACGCGGCGGACGGAAGGGGGAGGGTGAGGAGGAGAAAGATGGGACTGGGGATCCCGATTGGGATTCGCAGGTTGGGAGGGTTGTGAGGGATCCGTATCCTTTTGAAGGGAGTGTTGAGTATTCATAGGATAGAGGGGTGTGGATGAAGTTATTCGAGTTGTGGGTGATGTAAATGATGTTTGTTAGACGTAACGAATGTAACGGAGTTGGACTGAAGACTTTATGCAATGATCTTTGTAGGTGTAAGCTAAGCTACTTATAATCATGAACATCTCTCACCCGTTGGAGAAGTCATGTCGAGTAGCGCTTGAAGCCAGAGTAGAATCTCGGGCTAATACTAGTACAGAAGGCGTTTCTGCGCCATAGTACACATGTCTATACCATGAGAGTTCCAACGATGGTCATTCTCTCGAATTCTGATAGCCGGCCGTCTTGAGCTTAGGAGAAATCGTCTTCTCCCCAGGGAAATCAACAACAAAAGAGTTGAAAACCCCATAGCCAACCTCAACCGTCTTGAAATATCCATCAGCAACTTCACCAGACAGGCGCAACACCATTCACCACCTGCCGACTAGGAACTCTCCCTCTAGTAACACGCACAAGACGCATATCACCGCCCCATTTGCCGCGCTTACACGCCATATCCGACAAGACATCTCTCGCAGCACCCCACCGCGCCTCCTCACAAGCGTAATTCCACTCACGCTCCGTATGCTCCTCCACGAATGCAGGACACCCGGCCTCGACGAGGATCCTCACAACTTGCTCATCCCGCATATCCCGATCTTTGATAAACGCCAGTCGCTCCTGCTCCGTCATACCCGAAGGCAAAACGCCGTAATTACCCTGCAGCGCGAAGTCGAGCGCGTTGACCTTGTCCTGGCGAGGGCGTTGATGCCATGAAGGTCGGGATATGGCCGCCCTTCTCAGGGGCCGAGATCGGCCCTGGGCTGGGGTGCGGCCGTTTTTGAAGCGGTTCGCCGTGCGACGCCGCGGTCTAGTAAGAGCCGGAGGATGGTGAGGTCGCGGTTGAAAGCCGCCCAGTGGAGGGCAGTCAATTGCGAACCCGTCGGCGTAGGGCCCCCAGAGATTTCGATGTTGTCGGCGGCGAGGGATGCGTCGATGCCGTTGTTGGCGTTGATATCGGCGCCGTGATCTAGTGCTGCGATGACACCATCGTAAAACCCTTTCCTTGCCGAGTAGATGAGGACGTATGAGTAGAAACCGCTTGAATCTTTACTTGTGCCTGTGCTTGTGCTTGCCGAGGATTTACGCTCGTAGTCTTGGATGATGGGTGTTACAAGGTCCCGGAGTCTGTCGTTGAGGGTGCCGAGGTAGAAGAGGGTTGCGAGGGCTGGCATGTTTGGTTTGTAGGTGTTGCTTGGTGGTGGTGGTGGTGGTGGTGAAACTGCCCTTGGTGTTGGTGCTGGTAGTCCCGGGAATACCAGCGTCGGCATGGGTGGCGGCGGCGGGGGAGACAGCAGCACGGGTTTGCTCTTGGGCTCGAGAATCTGCTCCACGATGTCGAGGAGCACTTCTGCGGGCAGATGCTGGAGGCGGCCGCGCAGACTGCCAAGGCCATGTGATGTTCGCCATGTTGGGTGATGGAAAGGTTGGCAATCCATGTCTTGTTGCTCGTGTGTATTTGCCATTTTGAGTTTATTCTCCTTGTATTATATGTGGGATAGTGAGAAATGTGGTGGGTTCTTCGATGAGAACAGGGTGGTTGCGTTGGAGGGGTTGTATGATTGCTGTGTGTTGAATTATTTGAGACTTACTGGCAATCAACCTCGCCTTTTTGTAGTCGGATATTGCAAAAACTCCAAGACGAGTCAAAGGTCAAACCATTCGGAGATAGGAACTTGATGTGTGTCTTGCAAGGTAAAGTAGGTATGATACCTTGCGGTCCTAACTGATCCACACTCTTGACTTCGAGAAGACATAGTCCATCACAGACTGTCAGATATGAGAAGGAATATGCGAACGGTATAGACGTACGAAAGCGTTCCCGCTATCAGAAAAGTTCTGCGTAGTAAGTTGTGGGCCAAGTAAGTCACTCATGACATCCTTCTTACTCTCTGTTACCGACATCATTTCATCTTGGGCTTCAGTTTGGACACAACGAGGCAAGTGTGAAAGAGGCGTGTGGCCATTCGATTCCCTTCCCTTCTAACCATTACCCTGAAAAACACCATGTCAAACTCCCCATCAGGCTTTTTTGTCTTTTGTGACTGACCAACCCCTTTTCTACTCCATGCTTAAATGACAAAAATGAAACAGGGTATATATACCAAATTCCAGAACAAGACTCGCGCGCTTCCTTGATTCCCCCCTTCAGCGCCTCATAACTACCCAGTGTACCTCAAGTCCGCTTGAAAGAGGTTGATCAAGCACACGAAAAAACAAAACAAAACTCTAATGGTATAGTAAAGACGGAAAAAAAAATGTTGTTACAAAGACCGATCACTCGTCATGCTCGGTGACTCCTCGCAGCACTTTACAATCTCGCACAGAGAACGCATGACGAGCGGATCAACCTCGTTGATCAGGTCTCCTCTCACCATGGACCCGCCAGATCCCCCGGCGCGCAACGTCGTTACAAGGTGCGCGATACACCGCGACAGCCCCTGCTGCAGCTCCCGGAGGGGAACATCGGAGACCGGGGCTGAGTGTGCTGCCGGCGTCATTGTTGGCGCAGCAGCAGCAGCAGCAGCCGGCATTGTCATCTGAGTCTGTCGCGACGCCGAACGGGTCCCGAGGCCGAGGAACATGCTGGAGCGCTTCCGCAACGACTTTGGCGGCGGCGGCGATGTCGTCATGTCCTGCACCCCTTGCATGCCCTGAAGGCCGAGTAGGGTGGCCGCCTTTTTGGGGATGGAATCATCCGTGATGATGCTGCTGTTACTGGGACTCGCGGGTGTGGGTGGTCTCGGCTGCGACTGCGTCGTACTGTTCTGAACCATGGGTGCGAGATAGTTGTAGGCGACAATGTGGGCGTAGAGGGCGTCGCAGAGCCAATCTGACCCTTGGGGAAAGACACTGCGAATACGAGACCACTGGGGCGGGACGAGGGTTGCCGTTGACGACGGCGATAGGGAGGCAGAGGAGGGGAGATCGAGGTTGGAGGAGGATGCGCCGCGGGAGCAGCAGCGGCGGTTGAGGTTGGAGGTACGGCGGGAGCTGAGCCAACGCCAGCGTTTCGGAGACGCGGGCGGGGTGTCTGGGCGGAGAGCCTCCGGGGCGGCTGGTTGTCTGACCTTGCGGGAGTAGCTACGGATCGTCTCGATGGAGAGGCTGGAGCAGAGGAGCGTTGTCTCGGGGAAGCATGTCACGGAGACGCGGAGGGATTCCATCACGTTGGGAGGAAGGGGGATGCGGCGGCTTTGGTCGTCCGAAGGAGGGGGCGGGATGTCGATCGGGTCCTCGAGCCAGGTGTAGGATGTGCTCAGAGACGAGGTAGGCCGAGACCTTGTCTGAGCCTGAGACCGGGGACGAGGGGTCGGGGTGGTGTATGCTCTTGAAGGACCACCGGCGCCGGAGCGGGAGGTCGGACGCGGTGTTACGAGTAAAGGGGGAGCCAGGCCCTGGCGAGAAGCTGGCGTTGGCGTGTCTTGCGCGTCGAGGTAGCGGAACCATGGCTCGAGTTCCTCCTTGAGGTCGGAGATGATGGAGCTGCGATCTGTCCCCGGCGCGACGACGTGATCGGTTTGCAAATGCCGTGAAGACGCATGCGAACGCGAACGCGAACGAGACCGAGTAGAGATGGCCTTGCGAGCGTCATCAGTAACTGAGACGCGGTGCTTGAGCGATGAGCAACGCGTGGGCACGGCGATGTCGACCGAGTGAAGTGAGTGAATCGAGTGTATCGAATGGCGGTTCTGCTCCTTGGCGGCAGTAGCCACGGCCGCCGCTGTCGGGTCCAGATGCAGGCTTCGGGCCCGGCTTGTGGGCCGGGTGTAGCCCTCAAACGGGTTGGACAACCGGCGCGTAGTGGCTGCGGCATTGGCGCTCTTGGCCCGCGGCGGTGATTCGTTGATGGACCGGTCACCTAGTCGGGATAGCGGCCGCATCGGCTTGATGGGTGTCAAAACGGGCGATTGAACTAGGCTCTTGCCGAGCTCGGGATGATCCGCCGGCGCGTCTGGCTCAAAGTCCATCCAGCTCTCCAAGCTTCCGTCTGCTTCACCTCCAAAGGAAACAACTCGTTTTTGCGATGAGGATGATGCGACCACAGGCTGGGTCGAGGCGGAGATGGTGGTGTCTGCAGTAAGAACAGAATATTGGCGAATGTGAGGTGAGTCGGCGGCATCGTCTTCGCCGTCGAGGTCGCCACCGGCCATGCTAAAGGAGTCACCGCTCGAGCTTGAGGCAGCATCTGAAATGTCATCGTGGCTTGCGTCACTGGCCGAGCTCTTCTCGTCAATGGCACCAAGAGGCTGGAATTGGGCTACACCGTTGGGATGGCATGGTGCGCCGAGGATGGTGGGAGGTTCGGCGGTGTCGTCGTCGTCGTGCCAGTCGTCTTCATCTGAGGCGAGAGCAGGCGAGGGCGCGCCGGCAGTCATGTTCTTGGCGGCGAAGATGAGGGCAGAGAACTCAAGGTCCTGAGCCAGCAGCTCCGGCAGGTTGCAGTCCATGGTCGGTTCCGCGGCTTCGGCCATGGCGCCGGCTCGGATGCATAAACGCTCGGGGTGGTATCCGTACGAGAGGTCGGTATGCGGCTGCGAATGCGGATGGTGGTGATGGTGGTGTGGTTGAAACTGGGTTGGCAGCGGTGACGAGACAGGACGACAGATGATCGGCTGCGGGCTGAAGATGGAGCTAGAGCTTGAGCTAGATCTGGAACTTGAACTGCAGTTGGAGCTGACGTTGGAGCCGGTGCTTGAGCTGGAGGGCAGGGTCAGTGGCAAGAGGTTTTTCATGCTCCGGACGGAGCGTCTTCGCCCCAGGACCGGCGGACGGGATGTTTTAAAGGTTGTTGGAGAGATGTTCCTTGCAGGGAGGGCCTCGGTCGCGAGTGGGGCAGGGAAGGGAGCTGGAACGTCTAACGCGAACATGGGGTGCATGCCACATGGGTTGATGCTCATGCCATTGGGCGAGTCTCTGAGAGAAAAGGGGAGAAACTCCAAGAGCCAGGGGTGGTCGTTGCTCACGAGGATGCTGGCCGCTTGGGAGCTGCTCAGCCTTTAAGCTGCCAGGGCTGACGACAGGGAAGGGGATGGGGATGGGCCACGGGCGTGTATTCGTAGCCGTGTGTACCACGTCCACAATGCTCCAGCGAGGATGGACACCCGTCTGCTCACTTCTGTGGGCAATGGGCAGAAGAAGGGACTCTCGCTAGTAGGGATCCGAGGGAGGACCTTGTTGTTCGATTTCCACTGCTTCTATCCTGCTTCTGTTTCTTGCGTATGAGAAGGGGGGGACGATATCCGTAGGTAAGGTACGATGTATCCGAATATACAATGGCCGAAAGACAATTGTGTGGTCGGATCCGGGATCCCCAAAGAGGGCACCCTGTGACCGTTGGAGAGTTGTGTAAGAGTGACAAAGGGCCCACGACGTGACGAGGGAGATGAGATGGGAAGGGGGGGTGTGGCGGCAGAGAGCTCCGTCTCCGAATACCTCGAGGGTGACGACGAGGGATCGAGAATGAGAAAGATTGCTTCCCAGATTACCGGAGGGGAAAGCTGCGTATGCCGTGACACCTCGAGGGCCACAACAACAACAACAACAACAACAATCAATATAGGTGCGATACACATCGCCGGGCTTGCTGCGCCATCTCAGACAACCGACACGGAGGGAGGCTTTAAATATTCTATAGACCGTAGGTCCGTAGCAAGACAAGAATGCTGACTGCCATTGTTAGTTGTGAGAGTGAGACACAAGTTCGCCAGCCATGGTGCTTTTCGCCCTTGCGTCGTCCGCACCTCAACCATGCATGTGTAGTCTGTACAGAGTGGTAGTCAAAGCCGTCCGTCCCTTGTCTTTGGTGTTCTTTTCTTTTCTCTCTTCCGGGGCGTGCAGAGTGTCTGCGAGCCAAAGCATACCTACTACCCGGGCCGTCCACTCTGCGTCCCCCGTACGGCGTGATACCTCGCTCTTCTCGCGAGACCGTTGTGATTTGCGAACCAGCGAGGGAACCAGTCCAGCGGGACTCCGGAGCTCACGGGATGGAGACACCTAGAATGGCCGGGTCAGGGGCAGCAGGCCTCTTAGCGTTGAGAACCGAGTGAGAAACGGCAAGCATCACGTCCCCGATTTTCGGTCCACCGAACGAACAATTACAACTGAGGTAGTGTACGGAGTATTAATACAGAGTCACGGTATCCTGTATCCGTATCGTCGGACTGTCGGATAGTCGAAGAGAAAAAAAGAAGAAAAAGCAATGTGGGCGGATGTGGGCGAGGGTCTCTTGTGCCTTCAATAATGCTACGCTGTTAGTGGACTCTCTGTGCACATCTGCGCTGCACACGGCAGTTCGCTGCCACACTGTTGCAGAAGCAATATTGGCCTTATTTGGCGTCGAAGCTTGGAAGGTGGGCTGGCGTCTGATTGTGTCTGAAGGAAGCATGCTTCGCCTGTGAACTGTCATAAGGTGCCCCGACCCGACTGCGTGTTCATGACACATGGCCGTGTCCACCGTGACCTGTACGATGGAGGCTTAAACGGCTGCGAAATGGAGGTTGAAGGAGTTTTCTCCTCGAACGAGTTGTCTTCTCCGCGAATAATATCCACCACGTTGCACTGGGATTTCCGCAATCAAATGTTGGTGAAGGATGACACAGAGGAATCGATCACAAAATCGAGTTCCGAGGGATCGAAGCGAAGGGTCCGCGAGAGAACAGACTTGACTCCAAAGAATCGTCCAACAACCAGCGACCAACGACCAACACGGCGGATCAGATCCCTGGCAGGTGCAACCGGCCCAGGGCGGCCGAGGCGTCTGTGTTGCTGCGTCTGTGTTGCTGCGTCTGCAGCCTGCATCTTGTATCCGTACGCAGTACCCGCATGTGTACTTCGTAGACAGGCCTTGTGCGGCGGCACGCACACGATCGTCGCAGCCTGCGTACAGCAGCTTGCAATGCAAACCGTAGCACAAGAGGTCCTGACATCTGCCTGGAAGGCTTGCAGTTCTGTTTCTTCTGCTATTGTCATTTCCTCTTATGACAGTGTCGGCGAACACCAAGTCTCAGCAAGTGATCTCTGCGGCAGGTGGCAGCTCTCTGTCTCGGCACTGCTTGCCCGGACTTGTACAATGCGTGTCTGCAGCGTGCGCATGTTTTTGTATGCGGTATGGATATGTGGATTCTGTATCCGTACGATACGGTTGTGTGCGTGTGGCGACTTGGATTCGTCTCTCGGCTCTCCCTTTTTTGTTGTCTCCTTCCGGATTGACTGGCCCTGCCGAGATCAACAGGAGATTGAGAGGCGGGCGCAGCAGACCAGCAGAGAGGCCAACCGTGATAGGGTAATGAGAGGGTCGATTCCCTGGCATCGTACTGTATAGGCCAGGAAGACCGGCGATCTGGTTCCCTCGCCGCACGCTCGGATGTCTGAGAGTTGGGGTAAATGAACATCGCAGTGCCGACCTTTTCTCGATTCATTCTTTCTGAATGATCATCAGCGGAACACCTTCTGCCGCCGCCCAGTCTGACAGTCTGTACTCTCTCTTGTTTTCTCGTCGTTGATGGGGTGAAATTGAAAGGTCGCATCGCATGCCATCTGCCGCCTTCGCAGGTTGCATGCGTCGCGCACTCTGCACAATGCTGTAATTTGTCGACGCATCCCATGCTTGCTGCTCCTCAGGCTCTTGGGCAGACAGGGCCCTGAAAGGTCATCATTGGATTAAAATGCGACATCGATTCGTACCCTCCCTCGGCTGTTCAGGGCAGCGAGCATGGGTTGGGGGCCTGCATGGACCAGGGCATGTAAGCCCAGCAAGCTGTCCCTGGACACAATTGAAATTGACGGCCCAGAGCCAACCGACTTGAGAGATCGCGACTACGTACGCGTTTCTGGATGGAGCAGCCGAAAAGTCGAAGGGCGGCTGGCAATCTTGTGACGGGTTGATGACCTGCTTTGGTCCATCGTCATCTACCAAGCAAGAGGATCGTGAGGGACGCAATGGGTCCCGCAGGCTCCCTTGCCCTCGTCTCGTCTCAAATTCCAGAAGGGGGCGCCATTGCTGGTGTCGTCGCCGTATACAGCAAGGCATGTGTGAGGTACTCTGTAGATTACCGGCATATTGAATCAGTGAATCAGGACTGAGTACAGGTATCCGTACGTGCAAGGCAGCGGCTGAAAGCTTAGGTATCCGTATTAGATTGCGGGTGGCCTCGATCCTCAACTGTCAAGACTCAAGCGGCAGCAACTTGCAGGCCTCCTGTTGGCGAGCTGCAGATGAATTATGATTGTATCATGGATGCAGATGGCAGATGCAGCCGGGGCGTCACGTCAGACGGATGCCCGAGACCCAAAACACAGAGCTGATGAGATAGCCGGCGATCTTCTGATGAAAAAGAAAGGTCTGGCTCGTAGCGGTGAGTGATACGAACAGGAGGCGGCTGAGGCGGTATCGAGCATGTAAGACAACAGAAGTCATGGCCGTTGGCGGCTTGTGAAAGCAAAGGATTGTCTAGGTAGATTCCCGCTAGAAACCAAGGTTGAACGGTGGAACTGAAGGAGATTGGCGAATCAAGACAATAGAGTGTGGACTCTGAGACGGGCTTGATGGCGTACGCTAAAGATGCGAAAGGAGAGACATGTCTCGAGGAAAAACATGGCATAGAAAGGTTTGATGAAGTTGAAGTGGTGTCGTTGGTGGTTGGCTGTAAGTCGTTTGGCGATGTTGCAAACTCGCGAGGTGCAGGAAGTAAGGGAGCTCCAGGTACTCCGTAGCTGCACCTGCCAAGTTGAAGCTGCTGCCCCGTGCGCCCCTTCCCTCCCATAAGCCAGACCGCGTGGAGACCGTTGTTAGTGTTTCTAGGGAGAGAAGTTAGCGTTCCTGGAGCTCCTTCTCTGCTGTAAGGGTGAGTTAGTGGCTGAATTATAGGCAAGCTACAGGCTGAACCCCTCCGTGGCGCCTACGCGAGACAACGTCTGGCGGTCATCGGCTGTTAGCGTATTTTCTAGCTGCCCTATTTGCACTATCAACTGCACGCACTGCACTGCCAAAGGCCCTTGGCGACCTGAACCCAGGTGCCAGGGGGGGCCGCTTCCGTGGTGGGGCCGTTTCTCGATCGCTATCGATAACGCACCTCGGGAAAAGTGGATTCGAATTTTTTCATCGTCCTTCTCAATGTGACAACCAGCCGGGTCTTCAGCCTCATCACTTCTCACGCTCAACCTCACTATCAACTTTTCCAGGTCTCATTCTTGGCTTTTCCAGTCTCAACGCCACAAGCACACCGGCGTGTCATAGACGACTCGAAGAAGGAAACATTGCTTGGTGCTAGCGCCAGCCATTGATCCTGTACTCTCGCTCCCGCCCTAGCTCTTGCTCTGCCTCTCGCGTTCGCACTTCGAAAACCTGGAGAGATCTGAGTCCAGTATCAAGCCCTTGAACGTGGTTTCGAAGACTCGAACAGTTCGCCTCGACCGATCGACGCGACGCCCGTCTCGCAAACTCGTGGCACTGATTCACTTCCCGAGCACGAGGACAGAGTCTTGTTCACCTCGTGGCTCTAGGCAACGTCGGCTTCTATTCTCGAACCCTGCCGTCGATTCGCCTGGTCTATCCCACCTCTTGCGTCCACTCACCCGAGCATTCGGAGTCAGAGCCGCTCTCGGATAATCTCTGCAGCCTCAGATTCCGACGAGCCCGCGGCCTATCCGGCCTTCACCACCCTTCCGGATCCCGCCTCGTTGTTACTCACCCTCCACCATGTTATCGGAAGAATTCTACTCCTGTATCTGCGGCCCGCCTATTGCGGCAAACACGGCCGTGTCCAAAGATATTGGCATCTACGCCCATACTCTCAGCCCCAGCTACACCGTCAAGTCAACTCTCAAGAAAAGCACTACCCCGGCTCACTGCTTGGCTGTCAGTGACTCGCATGTCTTTGCCGCCCAGCACGAAAAGTCCCAGGTCCATGTCTACTCAAGATCGCGGGGCATCCAAGAAACAGTCATTACCTTTCCAGAACGGATTCGGAGCTTGGCGTTGATTGACGATGTCTTGGCGTTAGGGACCTCCGAGGGCAGGCTGATCTTGTGGGAGGTAAACATCTCCTATTCCCGGATCGAATCCCAAACTTGTTGTTGTGGCTAACGAAACAACAGACATGCACTGGTCGCCAGCTGGTCACACCACCTTGCCACGTCCAAGCCGTTTCGTGTCTGGCTGTCACGCCCTATCACATCCTCACAGGCTCCGAAGACTCTAACATCCACGTTTGGACATTGTCCCGTCTGCTAGAGCTGGATGCTTCAGTGGAGAGCGAGCCAGACCGTACGCTCTCCAACCACAGGGCTGCCATCACATCGCTCGCTATCAGCGGGAGTGTCAACTCGGAAACCAACATCTGCGTATCGTCCAGCAAAGACAAGACCTGCATCATCTGGAACTATCAAACGGGTGATGTTCTGCGTACGCTGTTGTTCCCCACGGCTCCGCTGTGCGTTTCCATGGATCCCTGCGCTCGTGCCGTCTTCGTTTCATCTGAGGACAGGGCTCTCTATCTCGTAGAGCTCTTTGGAGACAAGCCGCTCATTGGCCCGAATAGCACTGAATCATCGTCGACTGTCGTTCAAGTCAATTCACCGATTGGAGTCGCTGATGAAGATGCTGGCTCGGCTTTGTGCTTGGCACCGAACCATGATGCCACAACAATCTTATCCGGTCACGCAAAAGGCAAAATCTTGCAATGGCAACTGGCCGAAAACGGACACCCCACAGAGTTGACAGACCTCAATGCCTCTGTGACGAACTTGGTGTTTCCGCCATTGCTGCAAACACCTCGATCCACAAAAGCTGTTGCAGTTGTCAGGCCCACTCAGACCGAGCGGCAACTCACCTTCACATCTCAACTAAACACGAGTCTCGAACAAGAAACGAGATTCGGCAAGATGCTCAATGGCTTTGGCTTGCCTGATGATGCGCTTGAGGCGGCCATTCTCTCGTTCCAGGAGTCTCATGCACAACAATGTGCCACGGATGAAGAGGCTCAGCAGGAGACTGAAGAGTTGTGGGATATTATCAACGAGCAAAGGGCGCTACACAAGCTGACTATGCAGCCGTACCTCGAAGCCAAATCATCTCATACCTGAGGGGGTTTCATCTTTCCTTCAACCAAAACCAGACGACGGCTCGAGCCTTCAATTGACCTTATCCAAACTTTTTTTTCCCTTTCAATTTCTTCTTGTCTTCGCCTCTCGAGTCATTTGAGGAATTGCATCGGAACCACATCCATCTTGAGCAGAAGAATCCGTGAAAGCTTGATGATTCGTCTCGCATGACCAGCACGAATCGGCCGCGAATCATCTTTGTTTAGCAAACGCCTAGAACCCGTCATGCTGGGGTGGTCCGGACCTATATGAGACGATTGTTTGGGGTACCTCGCGCCTCAAAGCTTAACCTTCGGCTATCGGCCTGTTGTTGATCAATCTTCCACACAACTTCCCGATATGAGGCCAGCCTGGCGAGCCACGAAGAGATTCCTCGAACCGGGGTCCGGGGGGTAAGAAACTGCACTTGTCAGAGGTGTTCCCGTCTTTGCCACAGGATCCCATGCGCTCAGGCTGCCGTTCACCCAAGTGTTCGTTTTGGGTTGTCACCACCAGACAAACAGCCCACAGGATCCCATTGAAACCGGTTTCGCATTCGTCAGGTCTGGAGCTGCTACCTTGCGTCAGTGGGGTTCGTCATGACTGGACGACAGCTACTAAAATATCAACAAATAGCCAGCCTTGTCGCTCGGTTCTTCTGACTTAGGTTCGACTCGTTGTGTGAAGTGAGAGAGAGAGAGAGGAAGACGTTTGACGACGAAAACGACCCGAAGATACACGATGAAGCTGAGCGCTGTAGCCACCCTCTTCACCGCCCTTGCGGCGGTGACCATTGCAAACCCGGTGACACGGTCGCACAGCCACGTCGTGCACGAGGAGAGGCATCCCGCGCGAAGAGAATGGGTCAAGAACCACAAACTACACACTATGGCCAGGCTGCCAGTACGGATTGGTCTTGCTCAGTCAAACCTTCACCGCGCAAACGAGTTCATGAACGATGTGGCACACCCCGACTCGCCCAACTACGGCAAACATTGGACCCATGATGAAATCGCCGAAATGTTTGCACCGAAGCAAGAGTCCATTGCTCTGGTCATGCAATGGCTTGAGAGCGAGGGCATCCACCGGAGTCGTGTCGAGCTCGCAAGAGGTCGCAACTGGATCCAATTCAATGGCACAGTCGGCGAGATTGAGCGGCTCTTGAAGACCGAGTACCACATGTACAAGCACGAACAAGGTCATAAGCACGTGGCTTGCGACAAGTACCACGTTCCGGAGCATTTGGTTCAGCATATCGACATGATCACGCCGACTGTTCACTTTGATCAGCGCATTGGAGAGCAACGAAAGAACACCAAGCATGATCTGGAAGAGCACCACATTGAAGAGCTCAAGAAGCGGCAACTCAGGAAGCGTGAGCTCGCCAAGCGAGACGTTGCTACTGGCGGCAAGAACCCGGCCATTCAGGGCAGCCCGGACAGCGGCTTCGGACCCAAGCAGGGCGCAGTTGTCATAAATGCTCTCATGGATCTCAACCAGTGCGACTCCATGATCACTCCGGACTGTCTGCGGGCACTCTATGCCACCCCTCCCGGGTCGCTCAAGTCATCCAACAATACTCTTGGCATCGTCGAGTACACACCGCAAGCTTTCCTCCAGTCGGATCTGGACATGTACTTCAACGAGTTTGAGCCTCGTGCGAAGGGTCAGGGCCCGATTGTTAGCCTCGTCGGAAATGCCGTCGTACAGAGTACAAACCAGAGCTTCCGCTTCAACGGCGAGTCTGCGCTCGATCTGGAGTTCGCCATGTCCATGATCCACCCTCAGACGATAACTCTGTACCAGGTCGGTGACCTCAACCAGGGTGCCAGCTTCAACAACTTCCTTGATGCCATTGACGGCAGCTACTGCACTTTCCGAGGAGGCGGTTCCAAGGACCCCAACATTGACGGGCAATACAGCCAAAAGGTCTGCGGCTCCGTCCCCATGGTCAACGTCATCTCCACAAGTTACGGCTTCAACGAGGCAGATCTCGGCAAGAAGTACGTCGAGCGCCAGTGTGCTGAGTACATGAAGCTCGGCCTGGCGGGCGTCACAGTACTCTACTCCTCTGGCGACTCTGGTGTTGCCGGCAACGGCCAGCAATGCATCGACACCCAGACTGGCGCGTACAATGAGGGCAAGCAGGGTATCTTCAACCCTTCTTTCCCTGGCGGCTGCCCTTGGGTCACATCTGTTGGTGCCACTCAGGTTCTAGAGGGCTCAACTGTCCACACCCCGGAAAGTGCATGCCAGAAGGCTATCTTCTCTGGGGGAGGCTTCTCCAACGTCTTTGCGATTCCCGACTACCAGAAGAAGATGATGGAGCAGTACTACGCCATGAGTGCGCCGCCATATGGCGCAGATCGGTACAACAACTCCAAAACGGTGCGAGGATTCCCGGATATTTCCGCCAATGGCGCCAACTATGTCACTGCCGTCAACGGCAAGTTTTCGCTCTCTTTCGGCACCTCAGGTAAGTCTCTCAATCATCGTATGCAAGCTCTCTGCCACAAGGCCTAACTCGTTTGCAGCATCGGCGCCGGTTGTTGGATCTATTGTCAACATGATCAACGAGAAGCGTATCGAGGCAGGCAAGAAGCCTGTCGGCTTCATCAACCCGACGCTCTACGCTCACCCCGAGATTCTCAACGATGTGACCAACGGCGACAACCCAGGCTGCGGTACCAAGGGTTTTTCTGCCGTGGCAGGATGGGATCCCGTCACCGGCATGGGGTAAGCAAAGCACTTTCTTCCCCAACTCGGATTCTGCAAACACGAGACTAATCACGAACACTAGAACACCTAATTACCCTGAGATGGAGAAGCTATTCATGAGCCTACCCTAATTGCAAAATAATGGCCGCGCCATAGTAGTGGCGTTTGGCGACGCAAAGAACATACATACTACCACACACACAATGTCATATATATAGTGCTCTCAAGAGGCATATATCCAAAGACGCGGGACATTTCTTTCTTGCCCAACCCCCTTTTTGTGGCCGCGCAGTGTAGAACTGGTTAGCTGCAGGGTCAGGATACCAGGAGCGAGGGGGGGGGCAAAGCATTGTAGATCATTAAGCATTAATAGAGGCACTTTACAAACATTGCAATGTGTCATTGGAGTAGTCTGAATGTGAAGGTCCCGGAATGGCCAGGGTTTCTCGTGGTGCAAAATGAAATGGGCACTACGAATAGCCGGTTTTGAAGTTCACTCCGTATCGGTAACTAACATTCAAATTGTCTCCAGTGTTGTGATATAATATTACTATAGTAAAAGGTTGTTGCTCATAGACTCGGCGGCGTCCACTTCGGGATTGACAAAAACCAGAGGTACAAGGCGAGATCGGCCATCCGGCACGTTAGGTTGGGGGGCGCGGCGGATTAGTAAAATGCCGCGCCCCGAAGGCCGCTAAGCTAAACGCCGAGGGGGGAGGAGGAAACCGCGTTTGCATCATAGGTCCGTTTCACGCCCCGAAACCTCGAGAAATAGTTCCCATTTGCGCCCTTCACTGCCGACAGCTCTCTGGTTTTTTTTCGCAACCGCAAATCGCACTCACGACGACCACTCCCTACAGGAAACTCCACACGAAATCGAAGCACCGATAGGCTTTCTCGTACGGCACGCAACATAAAGCACACACGATGGCGACAGCGATACAAGCTCTCAAGGGCGATGCGCCGCAGCAGGCTCGGTCTCTGGTACGTTTTGAAGCAGCTGGCAACAATTTTCCCATTATCTGTCCCGACATATACGTCCTTGGATGCATCCTACTGTTTCTGGCTTTCTATATCGGAACACAAAAGAATCAATGCCAAGAACTTTTTCTTCAAAGTGCATCTGAGCAAGGGCTTTTTGCTAACCTTCTGCGCCAAAAAAATATAGTACCGCCAGCTGTTGAGGACGGGCGACCAGTTCGCGGCGTACAACTTCCGCGAGTACGCGAAGCGGCGGACGAGGGATGCGTTCAGGGAGCACCAAAAGGTCGAGGACTCGCGGCAGGTGCAGGAGTTGATTCAGAAGGGAATCGATGAGCTTCAGAAGCTCAAGGTTAGTGGTCATTTCCCCCATACTCACCCTGTCCCACGAGGTCAACCCTATCGTCCTCGTCGACAAGCTTTTTTTCGCACGACGACGAAGATGGGGACAAGTGTTCTAGGAGTACAGTTTAGAAAGATTGAAGTCTGGGGCTAACGGTTCGATAACAGAGGCAAACCGTCGTCAGCCAGTTCTTCCAGTTTGACAGGTTAGTAGTCGAGGGCGGCGCTGCCGGCAAGCAAAAGGGCGACAAGGGCGGTATTGTCAGGCAAAAGGAGCAAGGGTAGGTTTCTCTACTCCGTCGTAGACCAAAGCTGGAGGAAGATTGAAAACTGACATTCACGTCCTTAGCTTTAACTAAAAGAACGAGACCACCGGAACGAGGAGCGAAAGCGGAAGCCAACCTAATCACGTCGCGAGCTCAAACGAAACGATGACTCGGGATCTTTTTTTGTACTATATACTCAAATGGGAGGGGAGAAGGCAAGACAAGAAAGAAAACGGCGGAAGGGACGGGGTGTATGACCATCAAGAGGGGGCGAGGAGTCAAGATATTCTCTCAACTTTATGAAAGAAAAAGGGGGGGGGGGGGGGGGAATCGGCGCGGCGGCAATTTACTCCCCAAATGAAAAACACTCCTCTCTGGAGTGTTGTCTTCTTCTTTTTTCCAACCAGGGCTTTTTTTGGAGCATATAGACATGGCAATGGAGTTTCTATGACTGGGGAGCCTTTAACACCTGATTATGGGTTAATTTCCTACTGGTGGCTTGAGATCATGAAGGGCACGGTGTGATATTTGAGACGTAGAAGCGATGTTGAGGATGACTTGCAAAGTTGGACGACGGCTCGTGGTCGTCACCGAACGGAGGCTTGCAATCCTGAGGGATGGTGGATGACAAATGGCGGAACAGCCGGGTGAATCTTTGTTGCGCACAGGTTCATCACGGCGATCTTTTCAGAAGAACGTGATTGTTGCTTCCGAGTCTCAATTACCCGGTATGATTTGTATCAGACTCGCCGTCGAGTGCTATCGAGGTCGATTGTCTCCCTGGCCTTGCATGCCTGCTACGCGCATACACTTTGACCGAGACACATAGGTTACGGTATACTCAGCACGCAAATATCTCATTAATACTAGCTAGTTTCAAACCTCACGACTCATGTTTCGAGTAGTTAAGCTAGTAAAAATCATGGTTGCGGTCCTCTCGACTGCCTGAGTTCCAAATTTCGATTCCACACCGAGATCTCACCGAAGAATGACCTCGGTGTATGAGATGCAGCAGCTGACTAAGCGTAGCCGTTCTGGCGCGCTTGTCACCTTTAGAGTTCGCGACGAGGCTGCGTCTCTCTGTGGAGCCAATCCCAGGCAGTCTACGGCTACCTTACAGCAGTTCGTTCATCAGGGAAACAACATAGCGTCCGCCCGCGTCGCATCAATTATTTCCGAACAGAGGTGCACATCGCATTCTCTCCTTAGCCATTAGTCTGCGCCGTCGAAGTCATTGTTATTTCCAGCCCATAATTCGTGGACCATCGTCGCGAATCGACTAGAGCTTCGTCGCTGCGCGCGACCCTGCATCAGTTGGAATTGGACAAGCTTCGAACCCCTCATACCGTGACTGCGGTCGCTGCCTTGAAATCGCGTTTTCACAATGGCGCCAGGAGTAAGTTTTTTTTTAGGTTTTTTTTTTTTTTTGAAGAAGACTTGAACTCGAGTCCACTTCACCTTGCGACCAATGGCAAGCATGTCTAACAAGTGAACTCGGTAGACTCGACGCGCGAATCGTAGCGGATACACCGAACACGATGACTTTGAAGGTCTCCCCGTGCGCCAATGGCGCCAGGAATGGGTGAGCGTCGAGCCCCCAACGCCCGTCGAGACGACGCAGAAGAACGACATCTGGGACGTCGAGCTACCCTGGGGCATGCCTAAGGACGCGGGTCTCCTGCCCCAGCACAGCCAAGACCTCCTCCGCGCCGCGCGATCGGGTGTCCTTTACAAGAGGCCCGCGCCGACCGAGGAGGAAGAGGCCGACGCCGACGCCGTGCCCGACAAGCCGGAGAAGAAGGAGGACGAGGCGGAGACCAAGGGCTTCCAGATCAAGGTGTGGAAGCAGACTAACCGTAACTCGGAGGGGTCCCCCGTCTCGCACCTGGCCAAGCGCAGGAAGGGTACCGTGACCATCTCGTCCAAGACGGTCTCGAGCCACGTTCCCGGCGCGACGGTCACAAAAGCTACTGTGCGAAGAGTCGATGCCGCAGGAAACCCGTATACGCAGGAGATTACGCTGCAGGAGGGCCAGGCAGTCGAGGGCGAGATCATCTCGACGACTGTTGTGGCCGTCGCGGCTGTTGATCCCGCGCAACAAGCTCCACAGCGCGTCCGGCGACCACCGCCACCCAAGAAGAAGAACAAGCCTGGTCCAGGCCGCGGCCGCAAGAAGAAGGTCCTGCCTTTGCCTGCGCCGACGGCGCCTGGCGCACCGGTTGCTGCGCCTCCAGTAGAAGGCGCCCCTGTAGCTCCCAAAGTCGAGGGAGCGGATGGAGCAGACCCTGTAAGTTTACCAGAATACTTTTCATTCAGAGTATGTGACTAATTGGCTTCTAGGCTGTCAAGCAAGAGCGGGAGGACTCGAACAACCCTGACAGCGAGATGGCTGACAACGATGATGATGAGGGCGACGACGATGATGGTGATGATGGCGACGACGGTGACGAGGAGCAGCGCGATGGCGAGAACACGGATAGCCAAGACCAGGAAATGACCGACGCATCTCCATCTGTGCCTACACCGACTGTCGACACAACGGCGGAACTGACCGACCCCGAATCACCCGTACCAAAGCGCGCTGCGCCGATGGCAAATCCCATCAATCTCGCCCCTCCCAACATGCACCTAGCAAACTCCTCTCCCAAGGGCAGCCCTCTCAAGAATGTTGTCTTGCCATCCCCCACGGAGCCACCAGCCCAGTTTTCATCCATTTCAGAAGCATTGGTGCCTCCAGCGGAGCCAAAGGGCGAGCCCTCGGAGGCTGACATGCCCATGGCTGATGGGCCTGAGCCCGCAAAGGAGCCCTCCCCGCAGGCTCCTATTGAATCACTGGATTCGCTTGTGCCTGACCAGCTACCTCCTGCCGACACTTCAGCGGAGCTTCAGGATGCATCGACAGCACTCCCGCCTGCCGAAAAGGTGGGCGACATCGTCTCGCCCATGGCAGAGACAAGATCAACCTTTTCGCTGGCGACGACTGCCGAGACCGATGCTTCGGGTACTAGGTTAGAAAGCGGCGATCAAACTGTGGCGTCTAATGACGCTGCACAAGACTCGATGATGCTTGACGCTCCCGAGGAACGTCAGCCATCTCCGGTCCCCGAGGCTCCCAAGGCTCCCGAGATTCCGGGGCTTTCTGAGGCTCTTGCAACCTCGGAGGTACCGCTGCCTCCTGTCGAGGCGCCAGCGCCTCTTGATGTGGAGGACATCTCAGTAAAGAAGGACGAAAGTCCTCTGGCTCCGCCACCAAGCACGGTAGAACCTGTCGCTTCCATTCCTGAGGCCGAGCCCGCGGCACCTGTGGTTGAGGAGATGCCACTCGCGCCCTCTATGCCTGAACAACCCACAGAAGCCGTCGCATCACCGGCTAAGTCTCCAGTCAAATCGCCATTGAAGTCGCCAGCGATTCCGGCAGCGGAGTCACCGGTCAAATCACCCGCTCCTCTGCTGGAACCTCCAGCTCCTATGGAGCCCCCTATCGTGGAACCTGCCGACATCCCACCCGAGATCCCGGTCGATGTACCCGTCGAAGCACCTGCTGAGGAGCCAGCAGCCTTGCCGCCTTCAGGACCCCTTGAGCCTCCAATCGAGTCCCCCGTAGCACCTCTGGTCGAGTTTCCGGTCGAGATTCCAGTTGAGGCCCCAGAGGACGTTGCAATGGAGGAGGCACCGGCAGAAATTCCCGTAGAGAAACCCCTCGAAGCACCAGTCGAAATCCCAGCCGTCGAGATCCCCACCGCCGAACCGGAGTCGATCCCACCAGCGCCTGCTGAAGTTCCCATGATGCCAGAAGATGACGGCCCGGATCTGCTCGCCGGTTTGGAGACGGAGCTGGATCGACAAGCCGAGATCAGCAAATCTCCACTCCCCGAACCGCCTGCGGCCCCGCATCCGGAGCCAGCGGAGCTCCCCGAGATTGCGAATCCGGTGCCGTTGCCCGAGGTCCCGCCCATTGAGCCTGAGAAGCCCGCGGACGAGCCGACACAGGTGGCATCCGAGAGTGCTCTGGTCCCCGAGGTTTCGGAGATTCAGGAGACAGAAACGGTTCCTGCTGCGCCTGCTGTGGCAGCGGAACCGGCACCGGCCGAGGAAGCTGCTGCGCCCACGGAGACGGCACCTGAGGAGACGGCACCTGTAGAGGAGGAGCTGGAGAAGAAGGCGGAGGAGAGCTCGACTGATGCCGTTGTACCCGCAGCTGATGCTTAGTTTGCGTTTGCTAGAGTGGATTTGTCGAGGTTTACTTGTCCGGGGGTGTTGGAAGCTATTGGTGTTTGAAACGGCGTAAAAGGTGAATAAGCAGGCTTACCGCTTGCCTTGAGTGTAAACTGTATGATGGAGTATCGTTAGATGTGTGATTTTGGAACACGAATACCGTTGAATCGGCAAAATTGTCCTCATGATTTTTTTGGTTTGAAGTTATGACTCTTTCACTGGTACGACCGACGATGTGATGTTTGAATTCTTCCAGGGAACATGATACACATGCACGGATATTTCAACTATATACACAGAATATTATGCCATTTTCTTCTTCTTTTTTTTCCCCTTTTGCCGCAGCCAGCAAAAGAAGGAGTCTACCATTCCAGAACAATACTATCCCAAATGAACCCCTTCCACGTCGTATTGCGCGTAAGCTGGAATGTAACCTCATTCTCCCCTTCCTTTAGCAGCGCACCGGGGACAGGGATCTCAAACAGCCGCCACTCGCCCGCCGCCGTGGCGCTGCGGTACACGGACGGGTCGTTGAGCAGTCCCGAGGTGGAGTCGACGCCGACGGCGCCGCTGGTGAGGTTTCCTACTTGCTGCCCGTTGGCGAGGACGACGCTGCTTGCTCGCGTGGAGTAGCCCGCCAGGGAAACAATCAGGTTCGCGGATGTAGGGGCCGGGGCGGGTAGCGTGGGGATGCGGAAGGAGATTGTGTAGTTCCCCTTGTAGGTTTGGCCGTAGCACCAGTCTGATGTCTTGCTTGCGGAGCAGGGGCTATTGCTGCTGCCGCTTGCGCTGGCGCGGAAGACGATGTTTTCGGGACACGAGGCGATGATGGCGTGGCCGAAGTAGGGGTCTCCTCCGTGCGCGAAGCCGAGGGATGTGCGATCGAAATCGCCGACCTGGAAGAGCTTGGTGCGTTTTGAGACGGCCCAGTTGAGTGTTCCAAGGTCCGTCGTCTGGTCTTCTTCGATGACGTGGACGTCGTTGAAGAGGATGTGCGTCGTCACGTCGGCGAGGGCGGCGCCGGCGGACCAGGCTTGGAGGGCGTAGCCTGCGGCCGTGGTGCGGACGTGGGGGATCGAGAAGGCGCCCGAGGCGTCGGCGTAGGTTGTGTAGTAGTAGTCTGAGCCCATGTCGAGGGCTGTTTTGTTGGGGTGGTTGTCGCCGAGGAAGACGGCGGCGCCAGCGGCGGGGCGGCCGTCGGAGAGGAGGAGTTTGCCTTTGACGGTGCCGCGGGATTGGTAGGGTGCGTCGTCGAGCCAGGGGTAGGGCCAGGAGGCGAATTCGGAGGCGGCGCGGGCTTCTGCGTCGAATTTGGAGCCGTCGTTCTGTGGGAGGATGGGTTAGTTTTCTAAAGGGAGTAAGGGGAGAGCGTTCACGTACGAGGTACCAGAGCCAGGGTCCCCACATCTTGCCGACGGGGAAGACGTCGACGGCGGAGACTTGGAAGTGCGTTCCGTGAACCATATTGAGTTGGACGACATCGCCGGTGGCACTCTCACGGTGGACCTAGTGGGTGTTAGCATGACGCTCCTGGGGTCGCGGTTACGGATCAAACATATACCATGAGCTCCTGCTTCAAGTGGTTGCCGTTGTAGTAGTCCTTGCCAGCATTGATATACCAGCTCCCAACCTCATCACCATACACGCCATAATACTTTTGCGTGCGGATGAAGTCAGAAAAGTCGTACTTTGTGATATACCCTGTGCCATCAGGCGTGCGCCAGGTCTCGTCCTGGACCTTGTTCTCTGGCAGGTAGTCGGCCAGCTTCGGCAGCGGCTTGTCGTGGAGGTCCGTCTTTCCGTTGGGAAAGGTGGTGTTGTCGAGGCGCCAGAGGGTGCGGAATTCGCCCAGGGTGGGCAGGTTGCGGTTAACAAAGTACTGGTAGGCGCCGGCGAGGCCTTGGAAGATGACCCAGTGGAAGTCGCCGTCGTTTGCGGTGAACTTGACGTCGATAAAGGGGGTGCCTTCGTGGGTGCCCTTCTTGGCGATGGTGGCGGAGGACCAGGCGATGTCGTTTGCGGTGCCGTCTAGGGAGGTGGTGAGTATTAGTTCTACGATTGGGAAGATTCGAGATTCGAGATGAAGGCATTCACATACTGTAGCTCACGTAGTGGCCGACGGCGTTTCCAACGAGGTCGCGGTCCTTGTAGTACAGCTTCACGCCGTACTTGAGGCCTTGGGTCATGTTCCACACATCGTTGCCAATGATCCACGTCTGGTTGTCGACCTGCCTGAGGAAAGGTTCGGTCTGTGTCGGGGCCGCGAAGGCATTGGAAATCAATCCCCCGAGGGCGGCGGCGAAGAGACTGGTTCTCATCTTGGCAGACGGAGCTTCAATGTCACGCACGTCTAGTAAGAGAGCAACGACGACAAGAGTCCGCAAGGCCTACTGATCTCTTGTGTCCTTCTACCTGCTCAAACAGGCACCGAGAGAAGACTAAATAAGTCCACTGACCCGAATGGCGACTCGAGACCCTTACTCGAGTCTATCCCAAACAAGCATTGAGCCGCGCAACCGGCACGCCGGTGCCGCTCTTCTCCTCATTCTTACCTCTCGTGGTTCATGGGTTCCGTGGGGAAGAGGAGCCCATGGTTCGTATTGCTTCTTTTCGCGCTCAGGATGCGGAGTGGTGAATGGTGAATGACTGGGTGAGGCGACGTCAGTCGGTCAAGACTGGGGCGGGCGGATATCGCAAGCAGGGCTCTACCCCGTTTCCCGCAATCCAAGTAAGCTTAGCTGCTAGCAAACGGCGAGCTTTGATGGGTGGAATTTCAGATATCAACCTAGGTGTGCCTCGCTCCTTTCGGGAGAGCGGGAGATTGGGAATTGGGGAGTGGTCCGGACTCTGAGCTCTGAGCGCATCTAGGTTTTTTTCTTCCTCCTCTCGAGATCGCCAAGCTATCCCCGAGGACGTGTGGTGCTAGCTGCTGCAGCCTGCATTTGCTTGAAGTTGGGGGAATATTGGGCATGGGGTAACCCCGACTTCGGGGTACCATGGACCGAGGGTTGGGGTAAGTGCGTGGTCCTATGAAGATTGACCTGCCCGAAATGCTCGTTGTGCAGTGTCTCGCTGTCATGAACTGTCATGAGCTGTCATTTGTTGTGACCGACATTGCCGGTCAGCCGATTGGGTTTTGGGCCAAGATCTCCGGAGATGAAAGCATTGAGATGCGGTCCGACTTGCTTGGAGTTGAGATATCGCAGCAGAACAGGAGATCCAGGTAAGGTAGACAAAACGAACCACGCAGAGTAGACGCTGAAACCAAGTCAATGAGGGACTATGTATAATAAATTGTTCAATCTTACGAATACTTGCTCACACTGCGTACGACAGATCAACTATCGGCTTTGCTGCGGCCTGCCAGGAGGGTAGCGAACTTTCTGTAGATACTGCTCCTTCAATCTCGAACTGGTTTTCAGGGCATGGGCAAGGAAGATGAATAGGGCGCGACAGAATCCGAGCTCACGCTCTCGGGCTATGAAAAAAGTTAATAGAGTGTTGTTGACTGGAGTGTAACCGTACAGAGTACCTACCTTGCACAGGAGTAAGGCAACATGTTCTTGAGAGAAGATGGCGAGTCAGAAAAGACACCAGCCACATATTGTGTGCACGAACCAAGACTTGGGTTACAGTACTTGTGGCTGAGTTCACGGCAGATGCGGTAGCGACAAGGGAGGTGCCGATGGAGAGCCTCGGGAAGGCAGGCACCTTACTCTGCAACAAGTCAATCCGACTTTTGATTAATCAGTCATGACAAAACATCGGGAAGGAGATGAGGAGGTTCAGTACGGAGTAGACGAGAGAGATATTCGTACATGATCAGCCTAGGAAACTACCATAGAGGGGGATGAAATTGCGCTATTCTTTGAGCCTGCCGTGCCTGCCCAGTTTCTTGCAGCTTCATGGGGAGTAATGCTGCCCAGTAAGATCGGGTCGGGTACGGGGTTGCCCCTTCCTCTTGTCGGTCTTCTGATCGGTCCTTCTCAAAGGGTTGAGCATCGGGACATCGCAGGCACGCAGGATGATCTGGGCTTTCCCCCGGTTTCTGCTCAAAAGTTTTTTCTCCTTTCCATCAGGTAGTGCAAATGCTTAACGTCAATATCAAACGCAAGATCTGCAAAGTACCAAAAATACACTTCTTCGGGCCACGTCAATACAAGCTCCCACATAGCGCTGGGTCAGGATCGACGGCTACCCGAGAGCGAACCTATCATGACCACATCTCACAGACCTCTGGAAGCACAAGCGAACGCACAGAGGGACCCTTCCAAGTTCCCGCCCGGAGGTCTTCCCCATCCGTGTCAGTGTCTCACGGCACAGCATTTGGTTCAGATGGATCCCGAGCGGTCGGAACAAGAGAGACGCCAAGTCGGCGATGAATGGATACTCAACGGCCCGTCCGATAGAGACCAGCCAGACAACGCTTTCGGCGCCCGGCATGATGGGATGTTGAAGACTCGAAGTCGCCGGTCATCCAGACACGGCCTACGGAGGCCGAAGTGAACGCCAGAACGGCCACCCGCGGACAAGGACATGCCAGGGATCATGGCAACACGGGTGTTGACGAAACTTTCCACCAAGAACAAGAGCTTAAAGTGTGCCCATCACGCCATTCACCACTGTTGCAAGCCCAGTCCTATTATTGTAAACCGAACCAACAGTAGCACTATGAAGGATTCGGCATCATCCGTACCGTCTACGCGACAACGAAAGAGAGTTTGCGTTTGACCTGCACCAGGTACAGTCCCTGCAGGGGAAAGGACGGTCTGGCCTGCCACGTCTGGCTCGACTGGTCCAAGTCTCCAGACTCCAAGAGGCTATCGTAGCCGATCCAAAGTACGAACAGGCCCCAGCGCGTGCCGCCGCGCCGCGTAGCGTGGCGCCAATCGCATCCAGAAGAATTCTCGCTGATATTCTGGTCGCTTCATCCTTTGCACCTGCATACCGGAGCTTCACTTTATATCACTTACATTTTGCTGAGTGCGACACCT